AGAGAAAAGAGAGTTTATATACTCTGCCCAATCCAAGACTAACCCTAAGTTTCATGGGTTGAAATTAGTCTTTTTGGGCTCACTCTCACTAAAGCTATTGGACTTAAGTGAAAAGAACATATTAAACCCAACAATAATATATATTAAAATGTTTCTAATTCACTCTAATTGTGTAGGATCTCTCAAATTCTGTTTCAGTGAGAATCCCACCGCCTTGCTTTGTTAGATTGGAGTCCTTAAAAGTGAGAATGCAATCTCGTACAAACTTATCTGATGCGGAAGTAAGCAGGATAATGGAGTACTTATTTAAAAACTCTCCACTGGCCAGAGTTGATCTCATAATGCCAGAATTGCTATTATAATAAATTATCAAAATTAATATCCATGCCTAAGTCTTGAGGTAAAGATTTATACAAAATATTAGTTTTTGCTTCATTTAATGCTTCATCCTCCACCTGATGTTCTCTTAAATCGAATTGTCTGTTGCTATATTGTAAGTTCCTTGTTTTTAACGCTTGTTATAGATTTTATTTTATTTTTTACATGGTTTTGACAGATGAAAAATTTTATAATAAGAACTTTCACTGTCTGGAACAATGTATTGAAACATTCATATTTTTTATTCTTTGGACAACGGAGAATGTTGGTAAGTAAAACGTTCTATTTGCAACTGAACTGAAGATGTGTCAGGAAACAAATTTCTATTTGTGTGCTTTTTAAATTAGTCCAAATGTTTTTCAAGTGGCAATCTGTTTGATTTGTCTTTGAAATTTTTATGATTTTTTTTTTTATAATCTTGATTATCCTTGAAGAACAGAACTGCTGAAGAAAAAAAGGCGATATAATACACTGAAGAATCATGTGTGACTTAGTTTGCTAGTATTATACATCGCGTTATCATTGTCAATTTTTAATTAATATTTCTGGACAAATTCTTCTTTTCTTTAAGGCTAAGAATGATATTTAGCTATTATTATGTTCTATTTCATGTCTAAAATTTCCTAGTATTAGTTTCATGGCAGGAGATACAATCTTTTTGCAAAGCATTTTGGTAATTTTAAAATAGAGAAGAACTCAATGAATTTGTTGAAATATTAGAGTTAAGATGAGATAAAATCCTTTTACGTTTATGAACTGTTCATTGTGATTCATTAAGAATTTGGTAATAAAGTAGAATCACATGTATTGGGATAGACTTTGTTTTAGGTTACTGTTATGGGTAAATAGGTTGGATTAGGACCTCGTCAGTGGTCAGTGGGTGTGGTACACATTTATTAACAGGTTTAAATACTCTGGTAAGCAATTTGGGAATATTATAGCAAAGGCTAACTGACTGTCTGTTTGAAAGCTTTATCTTTATTTACCAAAAAAAAAAAGAAAGCTTTATCTTTATTTACCAAAAAAAAAAGAAAGCTTTATCTTTTAGCTCGATTGCATCTTAATGCTGATTGCTGCATAGTTAACAGATTTGGCACATTTACAATAAACGAAATGCTTTGTATTAACTCCTTGTTTTTTCAATTGCATTACTTTTGTTGAGATATATAGTCCCACATTGATTAGATGGACAACTAATATGACCTTTATAAGGCCTTGGGCACTCCTACTCCTTGAGCTAGCTTTTGGGGTGGTGACCTCAAGGTTCTTAACATGGCATCAGAGCTTCACCGTCCCCCGCTTTAAAAAGTGGAATTAAAATAAATAAAAAAAGCACAAAAAGGTAAACCAAAAATGGGCCTGTGCAATTTCCACGCTTCTAGCCTAAAAGGGATCTTGCGTGAGGGGGCGTGTTGAGATATATAGTCCCACATTGATTAGATGGGCAACTAATATGACCTTTATAAAGTTTTGGGGTGGTGACCTCAAGGTTCTTAACACGTTTAGTTGTGGCAGGTCATGTTACTCAAAGCTAGTGAAGATTACTGTGCACCTTAGTTCTTTGTGGAACAGCTAGCGGGCCTTCGTATGTTATGGAGCGAGTAAATGTTAACATGAGTATCAAGTTACCTTCGTGTGTTATGGAGCGAGTAAATGTTAACATGAGCATGTTAGGTCGGTAATATTTTGTATAAATTATTAACATTTAAGTTTATTTACTTTTGAGGGTTAACTTGGATGCGTATGAAAACTGTCAATTTGTTATTAGTACATGATTGGTTCATTTACCTATTTGCGTTGGGTGGATATAGTTCAAAATTTTGACAAAAAAAAAAAAAAACAAAATGGTGCAAAATTTCCGAAAACCTCGTTTCTAATTGGATATAATTTTCTTTTGTACACTAGTTTGGTAGGCATGATATGATAAGATAAAATAATTCGATAAGAGTATTATGATAAAAGTATAATATCAATTTCTTTAGCTGTTTGGTATAGGTTTTATTTTTGGTTTGATGGGGAAGTGTGGGTGGGTATTGGTGTATATCACGTTTGGTACAAGCTATTGAAAAAAATACTAGGCAACTTGGAAGGATAGGAAAGGTGATTTGTGTTGATTTTTGGTAAAAATAGCACTGTTTCAAAATACATCCTGAGATATGGTATTTTGGATATGGATGGGGAAGTGAAAAATGGTGTAATGAAAAATGTTCCACAATAACACTGTTGCAAATATTTCTCTGGTAATATTTCGATCAACTAAACATCTTTTCTTAAACTTTTATATTAAACTTTCTTTCTTACTATTTTCTCAGTAATTGTATTTTTCTAGTAAAATTTTTTCTCTCCTTTACCAAACGTCCCCTTATGGGGCATTTGTTAGCAGTCTTTGTAATAAATGGCTAGGCAAATTAGATAGGGAATTGCGTTTGTCAACGTTTGGTAGAAAGCTCCCAAAAAATATGCTAGCAAAATGCCATACCCAGGCAACATGAATCATGTGTAAAAATGAGATGCTGGCACTGTTCTTAATACCCACTTCGTAGGTTGTAATTGGTGGTTTACTAGGAAAGAAAAAAATGTTTTCCAAAGTATTGTCCAAAATGACCCTGGTTTACTGTTCAATGTCAGTGATGATGAGCGCCAAAATTTACAATGCCCACTTTGATAATTTAACAAATTATCTCATCAATATTTTACTTTCTACCAAACATAGATTTTGAAACTTACTTAATTTACCCGGTAATATTTCATCCTACCAACTAGAGGTGTTCGCGGTCTGGATTGGATCGGTTTTGGAAGCAAAAATCATCTTATCCAATACTTTCGGTTTGATCATTTAATCATTCATTCGATTTGGATTTTCTTACAAATCCGATCCGATCCAATCCAATTTTTTTCGGTTTGGATTGGATCGGTTTTCGATTTTTTGAAAATCCTAAAATTTGTTTCATAATTATTGTGCAAATAACATCTTTTGTATATATTGGCTTTGTAAATTCTTATTTTTTTAAATACAAAAGTATCAGTAAACGATAATATAGTTTTTTTTTGGTAATGAGATATGAAGCTCTACACAGATGAAATTTTATTAATGAGATGTGATTAAGTTTTTTCTTGGGTGTAGTTGATGGGTTAACAGGTCTTGAGTTTAGAAATTTCTGGGCTATGATTTAGGAAAAGCCCAAATAGGTAGAGGAAAATTAATATATTGGATCGGTTTGGATTGAATCGTTTTTTACCAACCCATCCGAAAACTGATCCAATCCAATTAAAATTTGCGGTTATTTTTCGGTTTTCGGTTATCAGTTTTTGGTTCGGTCACCGCAGTTTGAATCGATTTGGATCGGTTGATGAACACCCATACTACCAAATAACTTTTTATCTACTTTACCCCTAAATTTCTTTACCCATTATTTCCCTGGTAATTGTATTTACCTGGTTAACAAAAAAATTTCCTCTACCAAGCGCCCCTGTAAAAAAAATATTTTTTTTTGTATAACTTGGAAATATACCTACTTAGTATAACATCTCGTATGCACGTTCGGTTCATTAATATTGTACAACAAAGAGTATGTAACAGAATAACTAAAATTTAGATTCTAGTAGAACCAGGCAATTTGATCACTGTAACACTTATTTAATAATTAATTATCAAATCGACCTTGATTATAAATTATTTCAAAAATTTAACCTTGCTTAAAAACATAACACCAATCTGCCCCTGTTTGATCGTTGACCATCAAGCCTACCCGGGTATCCGCCTCCCTACCCAGGTATATTTTGAAAATTTTACCATACCCGGGTAGTCAGGTTTTTTCACCCTTTTGCCCCTCATTAATTATTTAATAACCATTTTGCCCCTTATTGCAAACTATCTACCAATTTGTCCCTCTTTAATCGATTAAATTGAATATTTAATCGATTAAATGGTCAAATGAAGATTTAATCGATTAAATCTTCAACTTAATCGATAAAATCTTCCTCTTTATAAGAAGAACAACCTTATGCATGGGAGATTTAATCGACTAAATCTTCAAGTCAACGATTTTTGCCTATTTTGACCATTTAATCGATTAAATTTTTGGCTTAATCGATTAAAGAGTGGCAGATTGGTAGATAGTTCTGAATAATGGGCAAAATGGTTATTAAATAGTTAATGAGAGACAAAAGGGTGAAAAAGCCCGGGTAGTCAAGGGGATACCCTAGTATATTTGAAAAATCTGGGAAAATGGTTGAATTATTTACCCGGGTAGGGAGGGGGCTACCCCGATAAATGTTGCATCAGTTCAATGTGAGAGAAAAAACGGTATTTTAGAGGGGTTGGTCAGCAGTTTCTTTGGGATTCTTGGTTTTGCTATTGGAATACCTCTTGGCCTCTTGGTGGGGTTCTTTGTCTTTGTTTACTCAGAAACCAAACAAGTGAAGGTTAAGTTTTTGGACTTTTCTTGCATGAACATTTAGTTCGATTCAATACAACCCAATGTAGATGCGTTTGCTGTAATCAGTATTATGGAAACTTAAGTTGGGGTTAAGACTAACCCCAGTTTCATTTTGAATTCTGGGTATGCTTCAAAATCTAATTTTTTTTTCTCTTTTTGTAAATTTTGTTTAAATGTTTGCAGGACTCCGTCGTTAGACCAATGAACTGATGTAACCTTTACCCGGGTAGCCCCCTCCCTATCTGGGTAAATAATTCAACCATTTTCCCAGATTTTTGAAATATACCAAGGTATATCCTTGACTTCCCGACTAGGGTAAAATTTTCAAAATATACTCGGGTAGGGAGGGGATACCTGGGTAGGCTTGATAGTCAATGGTCAAACAGGGGCAGATTGGTGTTGTGTTTATAAACAAGGTTAAATTTTTGAAATAGTTTATAATCAAGGTCAATTTGATAATTAATTATTAAATAAGGACAGTGGTCAAAAAGCCGTAGAACCATGTTTATTCTTTAATGAGGTGAAACTAGATATTATTGCCTTTCCAATGAGGTATAATATGCCTCAATTGGTCAATAATTGCAAAAGTTATGTTGCAAGCAAATTCACTCCTCACTAAGAATAATATAGTCAACTTGATTAATTGGTTTTAATTTATTTTTTAACCAACATTAATGAAGCTTAAAGATCGTTGAGTTAGCTTTGTGTTGCTGCAAGTTTCATTCAATTTCGTTTACCGTAACCCAAGTTATGTCTAATTTATTCTAACATGTTCAGGGGTAGCACGTTTTGATGTGCTGAGACAATGACAAAAATAGGGGAAAACACATCTTGACGTGTTACGATAGAGCTCAAATGAAGGATTGCACATTTTGACGTGCTATATCAAAGTCAAAAACTATTCCCCACCCCAACCCTATTTTGAACCATTTATAGTTTCTTTTGGTACCTAATTGACTTCATTTTCATGACTTAAGCATGTTCAACCTTATCCCAGGGATTTTACACAAATTATTTCTATTCATGTAATTCCAACATACATTACATACAAGATTGTTCCATCCTCAATATTTACAACAAAACAACCTTCAGGTACACATCAAAACATGTTTTCATGCCATAATTTATACATATTCCTTTCTAGGCATTTACATCAATATTTCCTAACATGTTATACAATCACCGAAGGCTCTTCTAAAGCAAAAGTATGTCTCCCATCATTTGAATTATCCTCTAAGTCATGCATGTTTCTTCCCTCTGTAAGACTCTGATGCATTATTTATAGAACCTAAAATGATATGCCCCAAAAGGGGGTGAGAATTGAATCTTAGTAAACCTTGAGTCCTTGTAGATTTTTGCATTCTTAGGTTCACTACCCTTCTTATAAGTGTCATACATACATGACATAACACATATCATATAAAATTGTAAACAATAGAGCCATTCAGTGTCATACCACATGAAATGCTCGTATGGAACTTCCCAGGACCAACCCCTGTAAGCAAAATCTCGTAGGACGCCCATACATCATATTGAAACTCCCCAGGGCTATAAGGAAAATCCCGTAGGACGTTCAATACATCATATTGGAACTTCCCAGGGCCAACTCCTATAAGAGAAATCTCGTAGGACGTCCTATATTTCATATTCTCTAGCTAGTGAACCTCCTCAAATATTGTCAATCAATACTGTGGCTACTTAATCAAGCATATAATATTTAGTATACCAATTTACAATAATCCATATACTAACCATACCATTGCAATCCATTCATAGTTGTTTTCATCACAACAACAAACAGTCCATATGAGCATATGTTATACCATTTTCTACCCAACAAATGATTCTAGTACTTTCACACACTCTTATGATTCCATTTCCAAGCTCCTTTGATCAACCAATCAAAGAGAACTATGTCAATACCAAGAAAATCTCACAAAACCTTACTTAAATACAAACCACCAAACCTCTAAAACAACTAATAAACCATGGAAAAACTTGAATCCTCACCTTATTCATCCTTAAAGGTGATTTATGATGGATTGTGAAGCTTTTCAAGACAAATCCCAATTTTTCCAATCCTCCCCAAAACACATACAAGCTTGGAGAGAAGAGATGAGGGTTTGGGTTTGGCTTAAGGTTGTGCTAGTGATGATTTCATGAAGTTTTCATGGGTTAAAGCATAATATTTGAGATCACCCATAGATGGCTATCGGTTCACGAAGAAGGAGAAGAAAGAAGGAAGATGGATAGTTCTAGAGAAAGAGATATAACGTGCAAAGAAAATAGAGAAGAGAAAAGTGCTAATTTTTACTAAATACAATTTTCCAAAAATTCCCACTATGTCCCTTTCTCAATAACCACACATTATTGGCTTTAAAGGAAAAACTTGTGGTCATGGAATTTTACTAATTTAGGGAGTAAGTCAAATGTGAGAAATTTAATTTTAATTCCCTCATGATTTTTTTGCCTATTTATAATCTAGTCACTTAACTTTGATTAATTGCAATTTGACCCCTAGAGAGATATTGATCAATTTTTATTTTACCTTTTTTAACCTTCTAATAACCCTTCTAAATTACCAATATTAGACCTTATTAGGGTTGTTGAACTTAGCCTCTTCAAACCATCTTATCCTCAAAGTACGACCTTAAGATTAACTTCTTATTAGAACAAAAAGTGCATTAAATAAGACTAATCTCCTTTTAAGGGTAGAGGTACATCCTCTGACCCCAAATTTTTTTACCAAAGATTAACTATTGTCAGGGATCGAATCCTCAAACAAGTTGATCCTTGAAGCACAACTTGCCACTTGTGCCACCCAAGAGGATAAAAAAAAGTCATTCTTCAAAATATCAAATGCAGGTATTTAAAAATTAAAAGGATGCTTTACTACACTAGATCATATGATCAAAACTTTTATTTTTGACATGGACATGGCAATTAGGGCTGGCAAAATGGGTTCGGCTCAGCGGGCCAACCCTCTCCACCAGCCAAATAGGGTGGGGCGGACTGAGTTTTACAATCCATCTATGTGGGTCAGTGTAAATAGGCTCGGGTTAGCGGGCCAACCCGCCAAACGGGGCGGGACGAGCTGAGTTGTTCAGCCCACTTTCAAAAGCGGGGGCGGGACGGACTGACTCATTTTTTAGCTGGTTGATGGCGGGGCGGGGCGCCCACTTTGCCATCTTTATTGACAATACATTAAATCTCTTGCGGTGGTGATCTGGACTAGTTTATTGGCCCTAATTCTCTCAATCTCTTTCTACTTCACTCAACACCATCCTCATGTATGCCACTATGTGTACTACACCCACGTCACCTATAGAAACTTTCCATTACTTGCAACCATCTTCTATGTATCCATGTCACCATTTATATAAGATTCTTCCACACATAAGGAGGGGGACTCAATGAATCATTTACATGATCTCTCTCAATTATATATGTCGGGCCTATCTCTTAGTGTCTCACAACACTTTGTTCACTAGCATAGGAATCCCTGTCTTCCTCATACCAATGATCCTAAATTGTGTTCGATATATACAAATATCGATCACTTCCAAATAGGGTGGACATATCTTGTTTAACTAGACTGAACATATGGCTTTTGTCATGTGAGAACTATTGAAATAGTGGTTGGTTTTTCAATTAGCATTTTCACATGTTTGTACTATTGAAATTGCAAAAAATGCTATCATGTGTGGAGAAATTTTTTGAAACATCTACAAACTATTGCAATAACCTCTAGCCTATAAATAGAGGCATTCTCTGTTGTTCTTTGCATCCTAAGCTCAAAGAAGAAAAACATATCAAGCGTCTTCTTTGTGTTTTCTAATAGTAAGGTGTATTCTTCTATCTCAAGAAAGAGTATTATCATTTGTTTCCTTACATATAAAAAGATGTTGTAATTTCTTTTGTTCATCGGATGCTTTTGCTACTCATGCTTGAGATTTTTTCCATATTAATTTTGGGTTTCCTACATTGAATTTTGGAAAAAAATATTTACCCAATCACTGGAGATAAAATTATCTCTAATAAACCTAAAATGACATCATTTTTTTTGAGGTTATAAAATTTTAAAATTATAATTATAATAATTAATATAATCATGAAATAAATTAGAATTACAAAAATACTTTTTTTCCAATCTGAATACGACATTATTTTGGATTCATCAAAAATAACTTATCTTGAAGAAATACTTTTCCCTGGAATTTTTGTGTCTGTTACTGTTTTCTCTTAACTCTAATTTAATTATATGATACCTAACAGTTTTCCTACCGAGCATTCAGTCCAATTATGTTATCTTCAAATCACTTTTGACTAATGTATGGAATTGTTAATTAAATACTAACAAAATAATATAGAGTAATAAATTGTGGTCTGCTATTTAGGTTATTAAAATTAATGATAATTCAATAACAAATTCAGCTTATTTTAATGATCAAAATTTTAAAAGCGTTCATGTATAAATTTTGTGGCAAGATTGAAGTCTTTTGAGAGCTTTTATTGTTGTAAAATATGCTATCTTAACGTAGTTTTTCGTATATTTTGGGCAAGAGAAAATAATGCACATGCAAAAATTCAAGCACTCAAGATATAAAGGTACTCCAAGATTTTAGGGGTTTTTCTGTAATAAATTGATTGGGTAAGAAATAGGTCCAGAACAAAAAGTTTTGTGGCATGATAAAGACATATGTCATACAAGCGTTAACAAACAAAAACAACGTGCATAAAAATGCTAACGATTTCGTTCGTATTGTAAAGTTTAATTTATGGAAAAAATGTTTATTCTTTTAAATGACAGAATTTATATTTTTTTATTCTTACAAAGAGATGAGATCTATATCTTAATTTTTTTTTATTAATTCTCTCTCCTACTTTATTTATCTCTTTCTCTATTTTAAAATGACAAAATTTTATATCTTTTAAAATGACACATACTTTTTTCTTAATTTATATAATTGAAAGTTAAACAAATAAGCTCATTATCATGCTTTTAAAATGTTCTAACTAACTACGGTGGAGTTAAACTATTGTAATTGGGATACTCAAAACAAAAAGAACATTAGAAATGAAAAGTTCAAGATTTATGTTTCAAAGAAAATATATACAAAATTAAACTAGAGCGTAATATCTCGCAGGAACAGGGTACTTAAACTAGATCGTATGTTGTTTGACACATGTTATAAATTGGAAATCATTGACCACAACCACAAAGATAACAGGAAATTAGGATCTTCATTTGAAGTCGGATATGAAAAATACATATTTTGCGATAATGACTTAGTAATTGGTATGACTTGGTATTTATGGAACCTAACTGATACTACGGCATCGTTTTGCAGGTTTTTCCTTTTCAACTTTCCTTGTGTTTCATTCCGAACTTCCATGACATAAACAAACCAATTGAATAAGCCAACGTGTTCCTTTTCCTTCTTCATCTCTCTCTCTCTCTCTCTCTCTCTTCGAATAGCAAAGTTTGAATACCATACAATGATACAAGTGTACGTTCCCACCTTCTCTTCCGGACCCAGAATCACTTCCCCTTTCTCTCTCTTCCTTATCAGCAGCTACCAGCCTACCACTTAACCAAACAAACCCTCTCTTTGCTCAATTTCTTCCATTTTTTATTTTTAGATATTTTTCGGAGATTTTTCCCCCCCCTTAGCAGATGGTCTAACACGATACCCATCTGTTCAATTTTGATTCTTTTTCAGGTTTTGGTACCTGGGCTGGTGAAAAGAATGGATTTTGAGAGAAAGATTGTTTTGGGTTTTGTTTGAGAATGAATTTTTGCTATGATATGGAAGGTGGGGTTTTGGATTTATGTTCATTGCCTCCAACCATTGTCATCGAATGCCGATTCATGCTGCGGTCGGCATTCGACTGGTTCATCATTGATTCTGAAGCTTTCTCCGAGGCTTGTTGTTCATTAATCCCAATTGGAGTTGACCAGCAACGCCTATAACCCCACGTTATTTGAATAACAAAGAAAAACCAAACCCTCGAAAAGAAAAAAAAGCAAATCCTTGGTTCTTGTTTGTCAGCTCCAGAATGGATTCTGGTGCTGCATTGGCATTTCCTGTGAACAATGGATACAGGGAAACTCATGATTTTGAGGAGGACTTTGTTGAGAAAGATCCTACCGGCCGGTATCTTCGGGTATGATAGTTTTATGCAATCTTAATTGTATGTTTTTGATTCAATTTACTAAAGGCTAAGTGGTTGTCTAATGTATTGTATGTGATATCGTGTTGAGTTTTGAAGTTGAAACTATAATCTCGTGGCCTTTTGATGAAATGAGCAAACTTGAGCTATAACACATTTCCAATGTCTTCTGCATTACATCAATGTTACGTGGGAGCTCCCAATCCATTATTTCTTGGTGTGTTTATGCTAGTTGGCATCTGGACAAAAGTTATCGATGTTGGTTAGCTATGTTATTGTTCTGCAACTCATTGATTTTAACAAGAGGTAGATAAATTGAACTGGTTTTAATATCTTCATGTTTATAGAAACTGTATCTGAAATGCATCATCTCCTTCGTTTTTGTTTTTATTTTCTATATAACATCATCTCTCCTTCATCTCGTAGCTTACTTGATAACCTACGTTTGTGGTAATTATATTATTCTGCCTGTAAGAATTATCTTGATACAGCTGTGAGATGTTGATTGACCAACTATGTTCAACTTTTACTTCATAAACCACACGTGTTATTGATTATCATTTTTAATGGGCAATCATAAAACTCCTATCTCATGCACAAGATTTAGATAATCCTTGTTGTGGAGAAATTCCTTTTGTTCCTTTTTTTTTTTTTTGGAATGACGGAGAAGTTCCTTTTGCTAAAAGCATAGCTATGGATAGATATAGAAGTTACAATCTGCTCCCGTTGGCCCTGGGAATTTCTTTACTTCTATTCTATGATTCAACAGTTATTCTTTCAATTTTATTTTTTAACTCTTTACTTTTTCTTTTTCCACAGTATAATGAGATCTTGGGCAAGGGTGCTTTCAAGACTGTGTATGATTCTGATACTTAAATCTATTTTTTTAAAGAAAATCCCCCCTCCCAAATCTCTATTCAGTATATTTTGTGCATAGTCTTCTAGTTTTATATCTTGGTTTTTTTTTTTGAGTCCTTTGACCGCCAATCCCAACTAGTTTGGGATAAAGGTGATGTTGATGTTAATGTTGGTGGAGTCTTTTAGTTTTATTCAGAATTTTACTCGCTCTATTCCATTAAATATTTCTTTAAGGAAACTAATATCCAATAAGATATAAAGATTCTTGTGGTTGTAAGAGCAGGCAGATTAATCCATTTCTCTGTCTCTCTTGCTGGCAGTTATAGGGGCTTTGATGAAATTGATGGAATAGAAGTTGCTTGGAACCAAGTCCGGATTGATGAACTCTTGCAGTCGGTAGATGATCTTGCAAAATTGTATTCTGAAGTTCATCTATTGAAGTCTCTGAAACATGAAAATATCATAAAGTTCTTTAATTCCTGGATTGATGATAAGAAGAAAACTGTTAACATTATTACTGAGCTATTCACATCTGGAAATTTAAGGCAGTATGTCCTCTTGAATCTTTTCCACTGTCCTCCCTTTCGTTTGTGCAGATTGGCTGTCATATACAAATATGAAATTATTGTATTCCTTTGGCTAACAGATATCGTAAGAAGCATAGATATGTTGACATGAAAGCCATAAAAGGTTGGGCTAGACAAATTCTTCAAGGCTTAGTATATCTTCACAGTCACAAGCCACCTATTATTCACAGAGACTTGAAATGCGACAACATCTTTGTAAATGGAAACCATGGAGAAGTTAAGATAGGAGACCTTGGTTTGGCAATTGTCATGCAGCAACCAACTGCTCGAAGTGTTATTGGTAACATAGCATTCCTTGAAAGTAATGTTTTCATCATTCTAACACTATATGGAGCACTTAACTCTGCTTTTTTTGTCATTTTTCTATTGTAAAAGGAACACCTGAGTTTATGGCTCCAGAACTATATGAAGAGGAATACAACGAACTTGTTGACGTCTATTCTTTTGGGATGTGCATGTTGGAGATGGTTACTTTTGAGTACCCATACAGTGAATGCAAAAATCCAGCCCAAATCTATAAGAAAGTTACCTCTGTAAGTATAGAAACAATTGGTTTTGATTGCATGCTTATTATTTGAACTACTGTACTCATATTTATTCTATATTCTGATTCATTTTATTGCAGGGCATCGAACCTGCATCCCTTAAGAGGGTGAGTGATCCCCAAATTAAGGAGTTTATCAAGAAATGTCTTGTTCCAGCATCTGAAAGATTGTCTGCAAAGGAGCTTCTTAAAGACCCATTTCTGCAAGTTGAGTGTGCGAAGGATCCAATACTTGATCCCTTACAGTTACCTAGTAAATCTCTAAAAGCTATAAATCCGTCCAAGTCTGGTCATCTATCTATGGACCTAGATGCTGACTACAAACAGATCTCTATGAGTACTTATGCCCAAAGCAGCCAGGGAAGTCCACATTGTCTATCTCTTGAAGTTCAAAGGACGTATAAGAACAATGAGTTTAGGTTGAAAGGCATAAAAAATGATGATAACTCAATACCATTGATCTTGCGTATTGCTGATTTATGTGGTGAATATAGCTCTTTTCTTCCTCCTCCACATTTTTTCTGCTCTTTTCTCTTTTTTTTATGGGAAGGGGTTGGAGTTTGGGAAGTGGTGAATAACATCTGAACTAGTTTTGACATGCCTCCATGTTGCTTTTCATCTTCTACGCGGGCCAATAATATAGTGCTTCTGATATTTGCAGGTCGTGTAAGGAATATACATTTTCTCTTTTACCTTGAGACGGATACTGCAGTCTCTGTTGCCTCAGAGATGGTTGAAAATTTGGAGCTGGCAGATCATGATGTAGCCTTCATAGCTGAGCTTATTGATTACTTGATAATGAAACTTCTACCTGGGTGGAAGCCATCATCTGATTATGCGTCAAGTGGAGGATTAAGTCCGTGTGGTGGTTCTCCAACACTTGGAGATGGCCAAACCTTAATGCCAAGTCCATGGGGTTCTGTCCTAACTAGTGTTCCCTCTGAATTAGCTTATGATCAAGATAACTTCTCTGCGCTTGATACTACTCAAAGAGAAGGTTTTGCAGGAGCTGAAGTGAGCTGCATGTTTAACATTGCTGATAATGATATTTTTGAGGGTGAGTATAGTTCTTCTCCTAGTTTGTCTAGCTTGGAAGATCAATATTCACAAGCATCTGCAGTTTCTGAGATAGTTGTTGAAGATGCTTGCATGAAAAATGACAACCGCCTTGATTTCGATGTTGATGTGAGCTATAAAGGACTGAGTTGGTCCGCCTCAGAACTGGAGCTTGGGGATGCATATTTTGAAGACTTTAAATTGCGGACTACAGACTGCAGTGCTGGAGAAGGCATTGTGATAAATGAATTCTCAAAGAACTCACATTCTACAGACCGAGACTTTTTTGGAACATCTAACGTTATCAGCTTGACAAGCAGTTGTTCTTCTCTATCATTAGCTGACAAAGATATTGATCTTGAACTTAAGCTTGAACTAGATGCAATTGAGTCACAGTATCGGCAATGGTTTCAAGAACTTTCTAGAATGAAGTTCGAGGCCTTGGAAGCTACCAGAAAGAGATGGACAGCCAAGAAGAAACTTGTTTTTCATTGATTTTGAGCTTGTTTGTTTCCTACTTTTTGCCCGTGTCCAAGTTGTTTCATTGTTGTAAAGTTTGTTGATATTAAATTTGATTCATGTACTGGATGCGGCTCTTTTTAGCGGAAGCCAGTATCCTTGCTATAATCTTTTTTAAATGCTTCGGAAATCATTTCATTTGCATTACATACGAAAATGTGTTTTCCTGGAATCTTAGCTTCCATATAATCCCAATTGGAAACAGCCTGAAAAGCTTCTGTATCTTTAGCTGATGGAAAAATTGCAAGAGTATGAAGTCAATCAAGCCATTGGTGCTTTCACTTCTGATTCAAGCACAAGTAAAATATTGTTGCCCGTTTCATCAGCTGATCGAGTCTGAAATTCTGTGTAAGCAGCTTTATCATGATGGCATCTTGGGCATGGCACTTCAAGAAAAGGGAAGGAGTGAAAAAAGGAAATGACGATAAAGAAATAAGAGAGAAGCAAGAAATGATCTTTTTTAAGAATGGGGGATTGCTAATCATTATTACTGTGGGAGGTACTAGTCTCTAATTCATGATTATTTCCCAGTCAAGCAAACAACTATATTTTCCAATGAGGTCAAAGAAGACCTATTAATTCAAAATTCAAAGAATGAAAATGTTCTCAAATTTCGAAACAACTAAAATCCCGAAAATGGAAAAGAAAATCACAATGTCCTTGATGAACTGTCATACAATTGGATCGTAACATAAGCATAATAATAATTGGATTCTGTGTGGCAGAGGCAGCAATGGTGTCAAATTCCAGAACTTACACTTTTGAGCAGGTGGCTAAGCACAACCACAAAAAGGATTGTTGGATTATTGTCCATGGATAGGTCTGTTTTTTATACTCTCTCTATAATGGTCTTGCTTTAGTTGATCTTTTCAGTTTCTGTGGATGAATCTGATTGCTAAATGGCTTATTCAATTGCATTTGAAGGAGACTAAGAAATTATTCCGGGTGCATCCAAAATTTTCCTGTTCATGGATTTAAAGGGGCCTGATTTGGGATAGTATATATATTTAAGAAACATATGCATAAACCCTTATGGAAAAAACTTCTGCCCTGCCTGGCCACTTGGGCTTATCAATAGAGTATACTTGTTAAATCTCCAATGGAGTATATTAAGCTTATGAATTTTTATTGTATGTAAGAACAAGTGTGCATAAATCCATTGTTGATTTTTCATCAAAATCGACTTCGGATTTAACAGCATTATTAATTGAATTGAATGATTTGTTAAAAGAATTATAATTGAACTGCAGAACAAAATTATCAACTCTGCAGTATAAAGCCAACGTTTGTATAGGAAACCAACACGGCTCTACAAAAAACCAAGGAAATTACCTTATCCTGGAAACCAGGTCTGAAAGTCATTTCTGAAAGTGACAGCCACACTTCTGTCTACTTGGTATGCTTAATCGGTACCCGAAGGCAAGTAGACAAAATTATCGAACCTCCTTTTAAGTGGAATAACAAGAAGAGGTGATTACTGAATTGTGCAGGGTTAAGTGAATGAGAGTTGTAGCATTATGAGTACTCTAGTAGATATTATGTATTGTAAAATCACAGAGACAGTTGTCAAACTGGTGGCGAATTGATTATATTCATTCTTTCAAGAGTTACAAAATGTGAACAATTGGAGAATACTATCTATAAAATCAAGTGGATGGAAATATTTATGGCTTCATCTACTACCACCCCATCATCTTCAAGTGCTCAGGATCTAAATACCTCTAACACTACTCATCACTCTTCTCTTGCTGTTTCTAACATAAAAAACTATGTTGCTGAAACTCTTGATTTAAATAATATGGTTCTTCCGGATGTCCTCATTCATTCCTGTCCTTAAAGCCTACAGTATCTTCAATTATATTGAAGACTCTGCTACACCACTACCTGCAACTATTCAGGATGGTACTGGTTCTTCCTTTACCATTTACCAGAAACATAATCTGAACCATTCATGTGAACGGCAGCCATATCATTGTTTCCATGCTTTTTATCCAGACCAATACCATCTTAATTCCTAGAAAGGGATATGAATTCATCAATGGTTAATCTAGGTAACTTTAGGGGCTGCAACGTTAACAATTTTCCCAAAGCCACAAAAAATTCAACGACGATATTGAACAGCACCCCGATCCACCACTCCCACTAAGTCGGTTTCCTGGTGGTGCAGCTCTTTGGCACGTGCAGGCTCTGAAACTTTGGTTCCTTTGGAACAGTTAAAGCCTTTGGTTCCTTTGGAACAGTTAAAGCCCTCCTCCGTCCTCGCGAACAAGGCCTGGAAGAGGAATCGGCATTGCTTGTAGGTGAAGAAGCATCATTTTTTCTTGTCTTTGCTGCTTCCTTTGGCTTCACAATGTCTGACGGTTTTTCAATAATAACATTGAGTTTAGAAGCTGTTGCAAGGAGAACTTTTTCTTTATTCCTCGAAAGAGCACTGTCAATATATACTTTTATTGTTAAATTCCAAATTTATTATAACCAAAGATACTCAATGAATGTGACAAACTGATTATTACTTACCTTCCAGGCCTTACTACTTTACGTTGCATCATTACAGATTTTCTTTTGAAATTGTCATCCAGATCAATGGGTTTCTGAAGTTTAGGACCAGGATTTCTGTGAGGTGCCTTCTTGTCATTTTGAATGCACCCCTACAAAACGTTTAGGGAAGTTTCAGCCCTTGTCTTTAGAAACTCATTAAGCGGTAATATTTCAGGTGATGGTATCTTCTATGCATGAACTTACAGATTGATTTTCTTGTGTTGTTTGGTTTGATCTCTCATCGCAGCTGCTATAATTATCAATATCTTGTTCACTTCGTGAGGGACAAGTTTCATTTTTCTGAAAGGAAAAGAAAAGAGAAATTTTTTAGATAATCAATGCTAAGGACATGTGTGCACAGATTGAGGTTCATAATGAAACTCACTCTGTTTAGGTTTACATTCTGATGTTTCCCAATTGCCTTGCCACCTTTGGCTGAGGGTGAGGGAATTTTTTTATCCAAATTCGCTTCTTTAAGAATTCCCCTTTCCTGCAACATTAAAAAATAACATGAATCATACACTTGATTAGTAAAACTTCTTTCTAAATTAATAAACCAACTAAAACAGAATCCATTACTTACATCAGTTCTCAGCTTAAAAGGCTTAGGATTTGTGGGCTTTAATTTTCTATACTGTACAACTTGAGAACCGGTAGAGGTCAATGTGGATTTCTGTTTCAAGGTCATAACGCTTAAAGGTTAAAGTCAAATCATTTCATTGAAGCAAGTGGGATTGAAAATAACATCAATGGGATTCTAAACTATACCAAACCTTGTGTGTTTTCCTCGAATCTTCATGCTTGCTGCTATGAATTGCCTTTTTCGGGTCACCATCATTGGTACTCATCGCTCTGCAGCCACAAAGAATTCATTGATTAAATGAAGTTTAAGAAACACAAGAAAGCCGGAATAGAACACATTTTGAGACAAATCAAATTCCTTACATGTTCTCATCAGGGGCTGTAGCATTTTCCTTGTCATCGTTCACTGTGAGTTCGCTCTCATTTTCTTTATCAGCAGCTGAAGCCACAGAATTATCTCCATCCTTTCTCTTTTTGGCTTCCTGAACTTTTCCAGTCTCTGAAACCGGGTTCTTTCTCTCTTCATTTTCACCCCCTTTAGTAGTCTTGTTCTCTTCTTCGTTCAAACTTGATAGCGAGGTAATGCCATCTCTAGAAGCTTCTGACAAAGCTAGAACTGAACTCTCTCCTCTTGTTTGTTCTTGGGATTCTTCATCTCCCAGAGACAGTTCACTACCACCTCCCGAAGTTCCTGATTCAGGGCATCTTTCTAGAGAGTCACCCCTTGATTTTTCATCCATCATCTCCTTGTTACTAGAGTCATTTTCACGAGGCACAGTAACCTGGCGTTTCTGCATGCCTTTAACCTTCCTCTCCTTCAAACATCTCAGATTGTTAGTTTCTTGTTCCTTGCGATTATTAGAATACAATGAATCAAACACACGGCTTTTAACCTCTCGTCCCCTGAATTGTTTTCTAGAGGCAGCCACTGGCAATGGGTTGTTACATCCTTCTCCATTCTTCTTCCCTCCACTGAGTTCAAGCTTGTTCATTGCCGAACACAATGTTTTCATGGCTGTATTCAATTCAACAGAACTCTTGGTCTTTACCACCTTCTTTGGCGAGTGAAAAACTAGAGCCTTCGCTATCACTCTGCTCTTAGGCGCAACAACAGTCATTGCTTTCTTGCTCTGAACACTTCTAAATTGTTCCAGTTTGGAAACCTTGTTTTGATTCCTTGGGGTAGTCAAAGCCTTGGCCACAGAAGGTGGTTGCTTCACCTTAGCATTTGGGGTTGCTGCAGCAAACTTAGAAAGAGGTTTAACTTTCACATTGTTGTCATTCATCTTGTGTGACAACGAGGAAATCAAAGGCATTCTTGACACCCTTGACTTTGCTGGAGCTGTAAGGGGACACTTCAAATTTGCACTGACAAACAACAAAATTGAGTAATCACTTTACTTTTAAATTAATAATTAAAAAAAAAAGTATACTCACTGACTAGACTATAGTGTTATTGGTTGGTTACCTTGCTTCTCTTCTATTTAATGCCTTTCTGAGGCGTACATTGGGACTTCTGGCTGCCATAACCTGAAAATCCAATACCCATTTTTCATCACATTCATTTCCATACTGATTAGTTCTTACTGAAACCAAGTTGAAGAAAACTAGAGCTAACCCGAAGAACGAAATTCTTGTAAATTGCTTCAGAGTCCAACTCTTGTTCATGTTTTTGGTCACATCCTATGGTTACGTAATTAATAGTTGATTAGCATATAATATAATATAATATAATGAAGCTGAGAATAAGTACAAAACAGTGAGAAAGAAGAGATCTCAAGTTTGTAAACTAATAAAATAAACTAAACTAAACCGATTAGTTTAGAATTATGAAAAAATTACCAAAGCGCAAGCAGAACCAGTGGCGGTCATCGTCGGAGCGGCGAACATCAGGTGCGGTGAAGTCCACGAACTTGGGCGCTTCAATCTTCTCATAGAAGTCATCGTCTATTTCCTCTTCTTCAATGATTGGCAAACATCGAGTAGTTTCCGCCATAACACAAGAGGAGGGAGTAGTAGTGACAGACACAGACACAGCGGTTTTGTATTAAGGTTGTCTTGTAATAATGTAAGAAGGCTTCGGCTTCTTTCCAGACATTTTTAAATTCCGTAGTAACTAGCCGTTACGATTCAGACAGGCTGGTAAGAGAGAAAAAACGGCATGGAAAAGGGGTCCTTTGGTAATTGCACTCCCCACGAATGGAATTTGGATTCAGATATGGCCCAACCCACTTAGTTGTCAAGCCCAATCCTAATCCTAGCCCATTTGTTTAGTTTTGTCGTGGCGTGCGGGATGAAGTTGATGAATTTCTGCCCCTCAAACTCAAAGAAGCATCTATGCAAGAACAAGGTAATTTAATTTAATATATATATATTCCAAAAGAAATGCGAGGCCAAATGAAAGTAAGCTCTGGAACTTGTCAATACTGGTCAACATTCAACAGTGACTACGGAGTCCAGAATCAAAGCATGGGAAACTTCTCTGGTAATTCAGTCATATTTTAAAAAATGATATCGTTTTATTTAAAATGACATAAAGTTATATAATTTAAAATAATAAATATTATTTCCTAAATTTTTTTCATATGTTTGTATTTCTGTGAAATTTTTGTTGTTGAAATGTTTAATCTTAAAATGATTATTCTCATTATCGCTTCATTATAAATTAATGCCAACAATGTTTTTTCTTGATTTGATTTTGATTCGATCATAACAAAGTGATTGTAGGAGGTGGTAAGAAAAATATATATAACTTAACCCTATTTTTTTATATTAAAATTAAGGAGGGAGATATAATTACAACTTTTTGTCCACATTTTTGTTATTGTAGGATCTAATTAAATCAATAGTTATAAAACAACATCAAATAAGAGCCGCTAATTTAATTTTGATCTAACAATAACATAATGATCGTAAAAGATTATAAGATAAAAAATATTATAAGTACAACGTAGCTCAGAATTATGAGTTATTTATGGTGTGTTTAAAACTTCAAAAACTAAATATTTAAGTGCACTAGTATCAGTTTTTGTGGTTTAAAAAATTTATTTCAAAATAATGATTTTCATCTACTTTTTTATATACTCTCTCTTGTCTATTAAATTAAGATTCTTTTAATGTAGTATATTAAATTAAAAAACTTGTTTAAAAACAAATTTCAACTAAATTAAACTTAAGTTGAAAATAATTACAAATAATATTAAAATTTATATTATTAATTTATCTTAAACAATTTTAAATTAAGTATATCATAATTCTGAAACTGTCAATATAATCACAATTTCCATTAGATCAAGTCTTATATAAAGATAATATGTTATGTGAGAATATCGATCCCCTATAGTTGGTAACGTGTGTTATGGCTAAAGCACTAATCTTACTTGCGTGCGTGGTCCATGATTCATCATCAAACCATATTCAACCTTCCACAAATTTTTAAGGTTAGGTACATTAGCACTTAAATTTACAGTCTTACCAAGGAGTCAATATCCTCCGTATGGCTTAGAATGAAGTGGAGATGGAAAGTGAGAATAAACAATTCGTTAGCTTAAGACTTTGAATCCAAAATCTTGCATAAACTACAAGGGTGGAATAAGAAGATGAAATAGAAGAGAAGAAATAAACATCATGGATTTCCTTTATTCGGACCTTTGCATATTTGATTAAGTCAGGGTCTTAAGCCCGTGAACTACACGTACGTTGACGTAAAAAAGTTAATATTTTTAAATTGACGAGTTTGGTCCATTTTATTTTTATCTGTCTCGCATCACAACATAGTCGTCCTCAACAACAGGAAGATTTCGATGGGTGAATATCACAAAAATCGGAGAATCGAGTTAAGTTCCATTTAACTTTTGAAAATTTATTTGACTTCCTTCATTTTTATTTTCTCTCCATTTTTAAATAGATATCACTTTATAATATTTCATTTTGTTTAAACTGTTTGCTATTTAAAAAAAATTAACAAAGTATTATTATTATTGTTTTTTTAAAAAAAAGTTTATCACGGTGACTTTGAGCATGTTTGACGTATTTTTTTATAATTAAAAACTAGTTAAAAAAAACTTAAATATTAAAGTTAAGAGCTATTTAATAATTGTATAAAATTATTCTTAGGATTTTGAAGAGAGGGAGATGAAATGATTTGTTGTTGAGATAAATGATTAGGGTAAATAATAATATTTATAAATAAAAGTTTAGAATAATGGTTTAATTAAAAAGTAAATATGAGAATTCTAAAAAGTTGGCATACATCTTAAACAAGTTATTTTTAGGAGTTTGAAGCTTTTAGCTTTTTTTCTTGGCTTTTTCACCCTTTTACCCCTTATTAATTAATTAATAACCATTTTGCCCCTGATTCGAAACTATTTATCAATCTGCCCCTCTTTAGTCGACTACCTTGCATTTTTAATCGACTAAATGGCCAAAACAGACAAAAAATGGCTGCTGGGAGATTTAGTCGACTAAATCTCCCTATTTAGTCGACTAAATCTTCATATTTTACAAAAAAAAAATAAGTCAGTATGATTTTAATCGATTAAGTAGAGAGATTTGGTCGATTAAATCTCCCAACAACGGTTTAGTCGATTAAAAATGGAAGGTAGTCGATTAAAGAGGGGCAGATTGGTAGATAATTTCGAATCAGGGGCAAAATGGTTATTAATTAATTAATAAGGGGCAAAAGGGTGAAAAAGCCTTTTTTCTTTGTTATAAAAAAAACTCTTTTATGAGAATTTTATAAAATTATGTTTGGCTAAATTTTTACTTATAGTAAGAATATAAGTTAAAAATATCAACTTTCAAGCATTGGTAGAGTGAAAGAGTAATTTAGTCGAATGTAGTTATATTCTTCTAAAATTAAATTTATTTAAATAATTTCTTAATCTGTGTGTAAAATTTTAAAAAAATTATTGTTTTGGATCTTCTACAAAAGTTAAATACCCTTAATTTTAAAAAATATAGTTACGTTTAACCAAATTTTTCCTTCACTTAATTAATAAACAATTTAATTTTACTTTAAAAATAAAAAAATAAAAATTGATATTTTTATTTCTTAAGATGACAAATAATATTATTTTTTTTGGTGTGGGACATGACAAATAATTTAATACAAATTCAAACTTCTAAAATTTATAAAGTGATAATTAATAACTGTAATAAAAATAATTATTGTGAAATAGACGTAAGGGATCAATGGATCCATTACTCAGCCTGTTACTACCACACAATCCTGATTTTTTGCATTTCTATTTCCACACAGAGCTATTTATTTGTCCGAAACCAAATTCAGCTTTTAATTCTGAACTACTTCCCTCAGCATTCAATTCATAAACCATAAATGAACATCGTCGGCAGTTACCCGTCTTATATCAAAGTTTGACATTTTCTTTATCTGATTGTCAAGTAGTGTTTTTCCCAAATAATTTATGGTTGTTTTTTTTATTCACAGGAGTGTTAGATATCCTAATCTTTAGCCATCACCTTAAAGTCACGTAATATGCTTAGAGTATATTAGAAACCCATTTAATATTAAGTTGCAAATCACTTACCTATTTTCTCTTTTAATTAAGTCTTTAATAATGGTTCTCTTTTATTTTATCACGGTGGTGTTAGTAATACCAATTGTGTTACCTGAATATGCAAAATTTAATTTGAGACTCTTTCCCCATGTGTTACAAAATTTTATTTATAAAATTTATTTAAAATTTACATTAACTTTTATGAAATAAAAATAATAATTTTTTTCCATGCAACGCACAAGTAAATAACTAGGATTAAATAAAAACAAGATCATTCACTGTACAATGATAGAAAATAACCATTGAACATTTTAAGTTATTTTATAGCGAAATAAAGTAATGATTTTAAATTTATACAGTATTTATACTATATAAGTTGAGTCCCTGATCACCATGTTCAACTCTTGTTTACCACTAAATATAAGATATTGGTCACCCACATACGAAAAGGCCAATCATAAATTGGCATGCGTGGATTCAACTTGCAGCGTTTACTAGCATTTGTTCAATACATTGGGCATGTTTAGCTTAGGGTTACTACATGTTTGAATTAATGACATTGAAAAATGAACAATATATGTTGTTTAAATTTCTTCTTACATAATCCACCAGGATAAATTTAATGGTAAGAAATTTGGATAATTTGTATAAGGTAATAGATTCGAACCTTAGTATCACATCCAATTTTTTTTTCCTTACCTTGGATCAAATATTATTTCATTCTTGATTAGGGTAAAATTTTTAGAAAATTCTTATTTTTTATAACGATTTGATTTAAATAAAAAATTTAAGTTATATAAATTTTATATTAATAATTTTATATTATATTTTTTAAATATTTCCATTAGATTATCCCTCAAATCCAAAAACCAATGTCATGCATTTTATAGATTTTTTTTTCTTCTTTTCTAATTGAAGTCTTATATGCAGAAATGTTGGTAAATAATTAAAAATGGACACAAGTTTGAAATGAAATTTCTATCTACCAGCGTAGTAGTAGCTAGCTAGCTAGCATGAATCAATAATTAAGAGATATATAAATACAAATAACGTGATGCAGTTATATGACTGCCACAAATGCATGAAACGCATCACCTTGAGAAACAAACGAAATCAAAATAAAAATATAATGTCGGTGGCAGCAAAGTAAATCCTAATTTCTTTTTTGAAAAGAAAAGAAAGAAAAAACAAAAAAGGACAAGAACACAAGAGATATACGTACTTATGTTCAACTTGTTGCCCCTATAAAAGAAAATGAGAGGCTGGTTTAAGCTGCACAAGGTAACACGTGAAAGCTCTCACACGTAAAGGATTTCCAAGAAAACTAGACAATCAACTTTTTCATTTGTCAACATATCCCTTCTCGTTTATTTTTCCTTTACTTCTCAAATTTAGTTTAACCAATACCCTATTGGAGATGGATTCTCAGTATATTCTGGGAGGGATTATAGCTTCTAGTTTGGTGCTTGTGCTTGTTCTGTGCGGTTCTATATCAAAGAAGAAGGCCACAGGTTCAATACATGCAGAAAGTAATGGTTGTATTATAAGGACATCAGAAAATGGAAGATGCTCTCAAACTGTCTCAGGAAGCACTGACATCATCATTGTGGGTGCTGGGGTTGCTGGAGCAGCCCTTGCTTACACACTTGGCAAGGTAGAAGGCTTTTATTTCCTGCTCATACATGAAATTGTGAATTGAAATCCATCTTTGTGATGGTTTTCTTGTGTTTTAACCTGTAAAATAAGTTTTGATTCGTAGATATGTTTATATTCAGGATATACCAAACAAAAAATTGATGTTGAGGTGGAATAATAATAACAATAATGTTAAGAAGTTTCATGTTTGATTGCAGGGGAGGTTTCAAGATGTTAGAAGAAAAGAAAAGTACATTTTAAATGTTATTATTCTGAGTGAAATTATATAAGTTGAATCTATATAGAAATTTTGATGATATAGTTTTAGGCTTCATAGAACATTTATTTCTTCCTTTCTATGATCTGTTATTATATATAAACTCTCGGTAAGATGGCCTGAAAAATATGTTTTGGAGAACCTTTTTGGAATTTTACACAATGAAGCATGTATTTATTGTTCTAAAACTGGGCTGCTTGTTTCAGGATGGAAAGAGAGTGCATGTTATTGAAAGGGATTTGAATGAACCAGACAGGATTGTGGGTGAATTGCTACAACCTGGTGGTTATCTGAAGTTAATTGAGTTGGGTCTTGAAGGTAAGCAAAAAAACATGTCAAATATGATACATGGTATGTACAAAACTAGGTCCATGAAAGATTGCTACACATGAATGTTATGAATTGTTGCAGATTGTGTGGACGAAATTGATGCTCAGCAAGTCTTTGGTTATGCTCTTTATAAGGATGGGAAAAATACCAAGCTTTCTTATCCTCTGGAAAAATTTAACTCTGATGTTTCTGGGAGAAGCTTTCACAATGGCCGTTTCATACAGAGAATGCGAGACAAGGCTTCATCTCTTCCAAAGTACAATCTTTTACCAGCTTTTCATCTTGGGAAAAAAACCCCCACCTGTTTTTGAAAGGATTCTTTATTATATGATTTATATTAAATCCTCTTATTGCTATGTTCCAAATTTATGCAGTGTAAAATTAGAACAAGGAACTGTTACATCTCTACTTGAAGAAAATGGAACCATTAAAGGGGTACACTACAAAACCAAGAGTGGACAAGAGCTCATAGAAAAGGCTCCCCTTACCATAGTTTGTGATGGTTGTTTTTCCAACTTGAGACGCTCTCTTTGCAACCCAAAGGTAATGATCCTAATTGTTAGGTTCCACTTTAAGTTACTACTAATTAATTACTAGAGGAGAATGGTTTGGAATTGTTCAAGAGATTTGCTATTTGTCTTGTCTCAACATGCTCTCAAAGCCTGTTTCATTTATAGTTAATTGTTTCTTAACACTAATAGATACACTTATTTCTACAGGTCGATGTACCATCTCATTTTGTTGGTCTGGTCCTTGAGAACTGCAATCTTCCATTTGCAAACCACGGACACGTTATCCTGGGTGATCCTTCTCCCATTCTGTTTTATCCCATTAGTAGCACTGAAATTCGCTGTTTGGTTGATGTGCCTGGCCAGAAATTACCTTCACTTGGTAATGGTGACATGGCACGTTATCTGAAAACAGTAGTAGCTCCTCAGGTACAACTTGGGATTGGCTTAAGAACATTCTTACATAATCAACCCAGATTTTATTCATTTATTGACTAATTTATGTTTCATGTTTCTTCAACTAATGATGGAAATTGTGTGTTTAAGGTTCCTCGAGAGCTGCGTACTTCTTTTATAGCAGCAGTGGATAAAGGAAACATTAGAAGCATGCCAAACAGAAGCATGCCGGCATCTCCTTATCCCACACCTGGTGCCCTTCTAATGGGAGATGCCTTCAATATGCGTCACCCTTTAACAGGAGGGGGAATGACTGTGGCTTTGTCTGACATTGTTTTGCTAAGGGATCTTCTTAGACCTCTGCATGATCTGCGTGATGCTTCTGCTCTTTGCAAATATCTTGAATCATTCTACACCCTGCGCAAGGTAAAAGACTATATATAAAGCTTTAATATTTCTACAGGTGAATATAGATAAGTTATCTACGTTGATTTTCAAAACACAACTTTGTTTTGGGTTGAAAAATTAAAAATTTATAATCAGAAAAACTATTATAACACTGAAAAGAATTATAATTACAAAAATACATTGATTTTTGCTCAAAACAACGTCGTTTGGGCTCAATGTAAATAAGTTATCTACGTTGACCACCGTAGAATAAACAAATCCTATAAGTATATATATTAGAAAAGTTTTTATAGAGAACTTTGTTTGAGCAAAATTAATAGTTGGTGTATGATTGTGTTTGCAGCCAGTGGCATCTACAATAAACACATTAGCTGGGGCATTATACAAGGTGTTTTGTGCATCCCCTGACCCAGCTAGTAAGGAAATGCGACAGGCATGTTTTGATTATTTGAGCCTTGGAGGTGTTTTCTCAGATGGACCAATAGCTCTACTCTCAGGTCTAAATCCTCGTCCATTAAGCTTGGTTCTCCACTTCTTTGCAGTAGCTATATATGGTGTTGGACGCTTACTCATACCATTTCCTTCTCCAAAACGCATGTGGATTGGAGCTAGATTGATTTCGGTTAGTATTTTTCCATTTTTCTTTTGGTTAAACATATATATATATATATATATATATATATATATATATATATATGTGTGTGTGTGTGTAAAGAACCAATTCAACCCAAAAGCTGCTTAAGCTTTTGGGTCCTCATCTCCTACTTTCAAATGGAATTAAGAAAAACACAAGACAGACCAAAAAAAATGGGCTTGTACCATATCCATGCTTCAAGCCTAAATGGCTCTTTTGTGAGGGGCGTGTTCCCCTCGCAGAAGAGTTCACTGGGCTTGAAGGGTGGATAATGCACAAGCTCACTTACCTGTGCGAATAAAGAAATTTCACTAGAAAGAAAATGGGGGACAGTGAGGATCGAACCCGGTACACCGAGGCTCTGATACCATGTTAAAGAACCACTTTAACCCAAAACCTTAAGGCAATAAGTGATGGCCTTTTTAATACTTTATATTTTATTCTCTAACAATATATATAATCTTTTAGATATCAATGCTGATCATTTGCTGCAACAACCTCATCAAATACTACAAAATTTATTAGTTAATGGTGCAATAAAATTTATGATTCTGTATGAATTTTTTTTTCTTGACATTTCAGGGTGCATCAGCTATCATATTCCCCATTATCAAGGCTGAAGGAGTTAGACAAATGTTCTTCCCGGTGACAGTGCCAGCATATTACAGAAGACCTCCTTCCAATTTGCATAATTAAATACTCATCTAGGAAGAAAAGACACGCAATATATAAATAAGAGCCCACATTCTTTAGTCCAGCCGCATTAAATAAAAGAGTCTAGCCTAGAGGGATATTTTGGTGTAAAAGGCTCCATAGTCCATACCACACTTGGGGCATTGTTTTGTGAAAGTGTAATATATTTGATACTAATAATTTTTTTGGAAGTATTTACAAATTTAGGACAAGGTTAGGTTCCCAAAACCAATCTTCCAAGCACCAGAGTTCAAAAATGTTACGTTTTGTCTTTAATAGCAAGTTCATATTTTTTGGCCGCTACTCTATGCCTAAATGTAGTGTGATAAATGAAGCAGTAGTAGGACAAATTTTTGAACTAAATAGTCATTTCTGAGAAAAAGTCTTCTGATTAAAAAGCACTATTGTAATTAAAAAATAAAACAATAATTTAACCGATGCCACCATGCCAAAACGAAGCACGTATCTTGTAGAATTGTTGATATTATTATTCTTCTCACTTCTTTAGCGCAATATTGTTTAGGAGGTAGGATATTCATACTACTAAATTTTTCTACTACCATTTCATTACCACTCTAATCACCATTGGATTAGAGAAAAAGTTGAATGAAGAGAGAGAAAAAAAAAATAACTTTTGAATCCAATGGCGATTAAAGTGGTAGTGGAGTGATAGTAGAAAAATTTGGTAGTATGAATATCCTATCTCATTGTTTAGAAGCAAAACTTTTTCATCAGCCAAAAACAAAATTGTGGCTTTTTCACTTTATTAGTTCAAATTTTTTTAAGTTCGATCGGATTAAGTTCCTTATCAAACTTATTACCATATTAATGCAAAACAACGATGCATTTTGTCATTTATTGCGTTAAGACACAACAAATAAGGACGCGTTATATTTTATGCCGCGTTTAGGGATGTCAGATCAGAGATCATAAGAGACGTCTCTGCACCAAACGCGTTTAAGCTAAATTGCGATCTTTGATGTAACACCTCAGCCATTAAAAATAGTACTGCACATGCTGCTTCTAAACGTTGTACATACAAGCCCATTTTGAGAAGCTGATGACTAATGTTTGTAGACTCCGCCGCCATATGGCTCTTTCAGATCTGTGTCCTAGATGTAATCAGTCTAGTGAAACTATCCTTCATACTATTCGCGACTGTCCACAATCTAAGGAAGTATGGTGCATGATAATGCCTCATATAAATCAGCGTGAATTTTTCAACCTCAACCTGCACAATTGGATCATTTCTAATTTAGATAGCTCAAAGGATTGGGGGATGGGGTCGGACTGGCCTCTTTTATTTGGAATCTTAGCCTGGAAAATTTGGAAATGTAGGAATTCTTGGGTTTTTGAAGGTGATCGCCAGAATGCTTATTCACTTATCCGTTCAGCAATTGGTTTCAGAGATAGTGTCGCTCTTGCAGCTAACCCTGTTTTTTTGGAGCAGGCAATCAACCAAGGAATCGAATAGAGAGATTGGTTGCTTGGTGTTGTCCTCCTGTGGATTGGGTTAAGCTTAATGTTGATGGTGCATGTGATGCTAATGGTACTAGGACTGGGTGTGGAGGAGTTTTTCGCGATGCCTCAGGAACTTGGATCGTCGGATTCTGTAAAAATTTAGGCTCAGGTACAGTTTTGCATGCTGAGTCATGGGCTTGCTTGGTTGGTTTGGAGCTAGCTTGGGATAGAGGTTTTAGGCAAGTTTGGCTCGAAGGAGATTCTCTTTCAGCTCAACAGCTCATTACAAATGGGTGCCACCATGATTACCCTGCGGCTAATTTGGTGAATCGTATTCGAAATTTGATGCAGCGAGATTGGCAGATTTATATGTCTCACATTCACCGTGAAGGAAATAGAGTAGCGGACTTTCTAGCCTCTTACTCTTATGGTTTCTCTTGGGTAATTCAGGAATTTGATTGTCCACCGTCAGGTTGTATTGATAGTCTGTATGGTGACACTATAGGTGTTCACTGGTCTAGGCTTTGTGCCTAGTTTCTTTTTGTTGTGTTTTTGTTTTAATTTCCTATTATTTCCAAAAAAAAAAAAAAACGTTGTACATACAATGTCGTAGTGTCGTGTTTCCTGTCTATATATTTGCCATACGATCCCCTTTCTCCTTATCCTAGCCATTCTCTCATGTCTCTCACAGTTCATTCTCTGTCCACATAACTATTTGATTCATTATTCATTCACCCCACCTTTTTGTTTCATTCTTTATTTACCTCATCTGTTTTATTCCCAGTTCATTTACCCCGACCATTATCCACTTGTGCTTCATTGCGGGTCTGAAAGTATCGCGTCTAATAACGGTAGTATATATACCGTGTCTTAACACGACGACAGGCAAAATGCATCATTTTGCATTAATATGATAATAAGTTTGCCCAGGAGCTTAATGGGTCAAACTTTTTATATTTTGAACTAATATGGTCAAAAGGCCCAAAATTGTGAATTCAAATATGTTTATGAAAAAAATTAACGGCAGAAGTATCAATTTTTTAAAATTTATAATTTATAAATCATAAATATCAGTATATTAATTTTTAAAAAAATTAATGTTAATGTCTTAAAATTAGTATTAGTTTCTAAAATTGATTTATTCATTCTCAAAATCAGCACCAAATTAAGCTACTAGGATTGGTCTAATAATAAAAGAGTTAAATTGGATAAGTTGTATTAGATTATGTATTTAATTTTCATCTGTATAAAAAAAAGTCAGCACCAAATTTATGAATTTGTGATTTGCTAATAAAAAGGGGATAAATTATATTGGGGAATGATATACTTACTACAAAAAAAAGTTTACAACTTTACAACTAATCTAATCGCCATTGATTTCTGTCAATCTAACGGTTATAATTTATTGAAAATTATTGGGTCGCATTTATTAATTAATTATTAATTTCCAATAAATTATAACCGTTAGATTGACAGAAAATAACAATGATTAGATTGGTTATAAATGTGATAATTTTTTTTGATGATAAGTGTATCCTGTACCAATTATATTTATAAACTTTTACAAAAATTTTAAATGAGTGTATTTCCCAAAATGAGACTATACTCCCCAAAATATGGGGAATGATATTGTGACAACCAAGTTGTGTTACTACCAAGTGACTACCAATTAATCTCACCGTTAGATTGATTATGTTGATCCAACAGTTATATTTATTTCCATCTTTGTATGGTTATGATTTCCCATATTTAAAGTGAAAGCATTAATTATGGAAAATCATAACCATACAAAGGTGAAAATAAATATAAAGTATTAAATTTGGGAAACAAAAACTATACAAAGATGAAAATAAATATAATTGTTGGATCAACATAATTGATCTAACGGTGAGATTAATTGGTAGTCACTTAGTAGTAACACAACTTGGTTGTCACAATATCCTTCTTCCCAAAATATATACCGTAATTTATAAAGGGGAAAACATCTATCATTTTTAAAGGATATAAGTTTATATCATTTTAGATCTTAGCCGTTGATTTCCGCCCATCAACGGTTATAATCTATGTAGCACCGATACTGACACAGGACACGTGACACGATACGACACGACACTCCGACACGTTAATTCTAAAAAATGTTAGATTTCGACACGTTAGGACACGTTTTGATATTAAATAATATTTTTAATTTATGTAATGTATATTATATTTAATATTTAATAATTTAACAAAAAAATGAAATTAAACTTATAATATTAATCAATTTTGCAAAGAAACATAAGATATCTCAAATATTTATTTTAAACTCAACGAAACGCAACCTTTGAATCTTTTTTTAAATTTCTATAACGCATGTTGGAGTGTCGGAGTGTCGGACACGACACGTCAGAGTTTATGAAGTGTCGGTGCTTCATAGGTTATAATCTATTGGGTCAAACTTAATGGGCTAAATTTATTATTAATGAATTAATATTTTAATCCAATAAATTATAACCATTGATGGACGGAAATCAACGATTAGGATCTAAAATAATATAAGCTTATATCCTTTAAAATGACAGATGTTATTCCCATTTATAAAAGTTTGCAAACACAAGTAGAAAAAAAAATAGAATAAAACTTTTTATTTTGATTAACTAAAGAAAAAAAGTATATTTAACAGAGAGACAACGAAAGGAAGATCGAAGAGATCGTTGGACGGAGACAGACGCAGACAGAGAGAGAGAGAGGTACGCTTATTTCCACCGATTATTTTCCCAATTTGCTTTTTGTGTTTCTTCTCTATCTCTTTGGGTTCGCAAAGATTTCAACTTCGATGCATTATTTGGCCTCTGATTCTTTCAATCTGCAGAAGTTTTTATTTTATTTTTATTAAGTTTTACATCTTTCTTGGCGGAAATTCCCACCCTTTCTTTATGCCTTGGAACCGGTTCGTGAGATTGTGGAATTCTGGGGTTTAAGGAAATATATGATATCCAACTAAATTCCATTCCTTTTTGTAGTTATGTGGGGCTGATTGTCCACCTTTTGCACGAATTTGATGCTTTTTTGTCGTTTGGTTGGAACCCCCATTGTGCTGGGAGGTTCAAAATGGTTGCAACCCCATTGTGTTGGAACCCCATTATTATGTAGATGACTTTGCTTTAGTTCCCTCTTTGCGTTATATTGGTTTTCCAAAGAGGTGAGACAAAGATTTTGTGAATTTAAGAGATCCAATGGTAATGGTACTTTGAGTGCTACCTCTTTGGGATTGGGATTCAATTTGAAGTGGAGAAAGGTTTCTTTGCAGGGTTTTTCCCTAAACAATTAGCTGAAAGAAGTAGGGCTGAATGGTACTTGTAGTAGTAACCAGAAGATTTTATTAATCTTTGATGAATACTTTGCATTGAGAGGACTTTGGGAACTTAACAATGTCAGTAATGTGTGAAATAATAACTGTTTTTGCTGCTTATTTGGCCTCTCCCCTTCCCAACACAAAACAGCAAGCACACCACCCTAAAATTGTTTCATAATTTTTTGCTTGTTATTCATTCAATTAAAATCTCATTCCTTTTTCTTTTGTTTTTGGGTAATATGATCAGCCACTTAAATGGATCTGGAGACTGAAAACAGAATAGCTGCTATCCTTATGAGGGAAGCAGCTGAATTGCGGCGACAGTCTGAAAAGGAAGGTGTTCTGGCTTATCTTTGTAAGCCTAATATACGAAGTCGGCCAAATTCACGTTTCCTCACTGCTACTGTGCGTGGGGTACAACAAGGTTATTTCTTATTCACTAATTTTAGATAGAGCTTGGTTATTTTTGCTCTATGCTGTCTTATGTTTTATGGATGTACTTTCGAGAAAGTTTTATCATTGCGTAGGACTGTGAATTTATATTTCTGATTCAAGGTTCGATTTTCCTGATTGTATCGAATAGACCTCCCTTTTAATTGATCTTTTTGGTTAATGCTGGGTATGCCCTTTGAGTTTAGAACGGTTCTTATTCAACTTTAGGGGGGTTTGGAGGGAGCAAGCCAAGGAGGACAATACTATATGTTTACTGTTATAGGAGGTACCGATGGCTTATTCAAGGGAATCAGATATGCAGACTTATTGGAGGGCTTTATTGGACTTATGGGCTTGTTTCATTTTTACTTTTTTATTTTTGTAGTCTTTGCTAACATTGAGATCATCCAGAATGATTGTCTCTTTTTTTTTTGGCTTCACTAACTGCTAACTTATACTCTCTCTCTTTTCTTGGGGGGAAGGTTGTGCAAAAACGGATGGCTGGTTTGAATTAATTTAAAATTGGTTTTCTTCTTACTAGTGTCTTCACATGCATTAATATGTGGGTTTAGTATTCATGGGCAATCCTATATGGCTGCTCTATCTTGATCAAGTAGGTATCCGGTACTGATACTCATTGGTTACATACTTGGTACACTTGTGGTGATTTTGAAGGGTTTTGTTAGGGTGTGTCTAAGGCCACACATTAAGAAGCATTTACTACTATTTTTTAAATGATTTTAATTACTTAAAGAAGAAAGTATCAAATGCTTTTTGGATTTTCAAGATATGAAATGCTTTTTGGATAACAAATCTCTTTTTTATTTAGAAAAAAATTCTAATTGAGTATATCAATGAGCCAGTATGACTCAAGTACAAGTTGTTCCATGCAAAATGCTATTTGCTACTAAATGGAACACACGACTACACCCATATCAAATATTGACATTTAACTTCATTTCTTGAATGTTTGAGACAGGCAAATCACCATCCCCCGCCTCTGTGTTATGAAGTGTTGTACAGTGAGTATGATGTCTATGTGTTGAGCCGACAGTTTATCTATATTAATTAAATATGAATTTATTTTTGTGCTTTCTACCAGCAAATCGAGCTGTTGAAGTGAATGAGATGTGGCGAGTGCGGCAGAAAGAACTGGAGCTGGATAAACGGGTTAAAGGCACATCGATAGATAAAAGTAGTGGAGACAGAAGCCATAGTGATGGTAACTCATCAAGAAGCACGGGAAGACAAGCTGTTATTGATGATAACACTAGAACCTCTGCTTCATGCTCAAGTAAAAGAGAATATGAGCTGGATAAACGGGATAAAGGCACATCAAAAGATAAAAGCAGTGGCGACAAAAGCCATAGGGTTGGGAACTCATCAAGAACCACAGGAAGACATGCTGTAGTTGATAAAAGCACTAGTGCCTCTGCTTCATGCTCAAGTAAAAGAGAATATGAGCATAGTCCAGAAGGTTTAAAGGATGATGAGCTTGAGGAGTTTCTACACTCAAGGTATTGTTGATTTCTTATGCTTTCTGATGTCTTATGTGCATGCATGCCTTCATATAATCTCTCTCTCTAATTGTGTTAGAATTTAAGAAACTTCATTTTGATGCAGGACCAAGAGAGGCAGAGGTGCTGTTGGTCCAAGGATGGATGAGACTGGACCTTACCTTCCTCCTCATCCATATGGGGAGCCTAGTACTAGTTATGATGTAAGGGAACGTCGGGTTATTTATGGTCCTGAAAGGCCTCCATCATTGAACTCATATGAATCTTACGAAGAGGAGCTTCATGAAGGAAGTCAGAAAAAGAATAAGAAGTCTTACACTAGCAACTCGGACAAGGTGCATTCTAAGAAGCACAGGTACAAAGAGAAATCTAAGCATAATAAAAAGAAAGGAAAGGATAAAAGAAGTAAACATCGTTGCTAAGGCTATGTTGTAATGTTATATTATCACAGATGAAGGTTATAACTTAGGGATACAGGCAATTTGAATGAAACTCATGTTTGTACTTTGTACATATATTTTCTGGATCATCAAATGCAATTCCGGCTATTGATAATAGTTATAAATTCCTGTTCTTTTGGCCATAGTATGCAATTATTATTATTGTTTAATTACCTTATATAATATGTGTATGGCAGTAAAAGTCTGGGTACTTTTAACAACTTATCTGACATTTATACTTCGGAAATGTTGGTCTTACCGATTCCTTATCATTGGAAGATGGATTTGGTGTCAACAGGATGTCATAAACCCAATCTTCACATGTCCAGCCTGAGTATAGAAGGCCTTTGTAATTCTGTAGGTGGTGAAGATTTAGTTGGTAGTTTAAAGCTCTTGCACTAACTGGCCCCTCAACTTCAGCTTCTTGCTAAGAGCCTAAGACCTAGTGTCTCTTGCACTTGAATTGGTTTCTTAATCCTTCACCATCAGTTGCTTGTCTTGAGCTTTCACCCTCATTAGATTGTTTTTATGAAATTCACCTTCAATTAATTAAGGGCTTTGTATATCTGGAGTCGCTGAAGAGCTTTGTCTTCTCCGACAAAAACATGGCGAAGTCCACTATTTTTTATTAAAAAAAAAAAATTAAAAATTTGACTAAGTGTGTCGCATGAGAACACTTATGCGGTAACAACTGAAGTGTTTTTTCCATTAATTAAATCACAACCACTTTGATGCCAAAAAAACGATTTTAACAATAGCTTTCCCATCCCTACTTTTCACAAGGTGGCTTGTAACGTTCCAATCACAATCTAGATCCCCAAACAGCTGTTCTGATTATCTAACTATGAATCTAGAAACCAGCAAAAGTATGTGAAAGACACGTTTTATGGACAGATCATGATCATTGTCCCGAGTCTTCAAAATGATGATCTGTCTCATCAAAGATCTCCTCCTACGCAGAAACATTGATGTCAATAAAGCTTTCAACAAGTTTCAAGAGTAAATAAAATTGGGGAAAAGTGTGTGTTATTTTAAAGGATGTAAAGTTGTGTCATTTTAAGAGAGAGGAAGAGATAGATAAAGGAGGAGAGAGAGTTGACAAAAAAAATAAAGGTGTAGGTCTCACCTCTTTGTGAGAGTGAAAAGATATAAGTTGTGTCATTTAAAAGAATAAACACTTTTTCGATAAAATTGTTCAGAATGAGCTTTAGTACCTGTAAAAGCTCTTCAATGACATCTTCCATTGTAATTATTCCAACAGCTTCTTCTTCTTCGGGGAGCTTTGGAAGTGAATTCCCATCTATTTCCAAAATATCTGAGTACATATGTTTTGACCATTTTCTGCTTCGAGAACTACCCCTAATGGAATTACTTCCGTTTGGAAAGCTTTTCCACTTATTGAGTGGCCTCTTGGTTCTCAAAATTCTCCCTTGAGGAGGCCTCTCAGCATCAATTATTTCCACCTTCACATCTCTCACTGAGTCTATTTCATAGGCATTAGAGAAAGGGAGCATTTATCATGATATGAAAGATATTCTCAATTTCTTTTTGTTTTATATAATGGGAGCACCGCAGGTTTGAACCTATGACCTCATGCAAACTACACTAACCACTTACCATTAGACCAATTCTAGTGGCTTGAAATTCTCAATTTCAAAGAGAATCTAAACGTAATGGTAGCATATGATAAATAGTTTAACTTGATTACAACATGTGCTTACCATTGGAATTATTGTTGGAAGACTGCTGCCCAGTTTTCTCACAATGTCTGACAACAACAGCCATGTGGCTATGACCCTTCTGGAACTCATTCAAAATATCATACAGTGGCATCGTTTCTGGAACCCTTTCAATATATGTAATTTTTTAATATGAATTTATGGTGATATAATGAAATGCCATTAATTTCAATAGTAACATCACCAAACCTACAAAACATACACAAGATACCTTGGAATTCTGCGTATGGTCACACTCTTCACAGGTGCTTCATCTTCTGGGTCAACTGTCAGTAAATTCTTGACCTGAAATTAAAAAGCATATCAATCTCACCATGCAAAAGTTAGCTTACTGATACAATTAAGTGTCCAATATTAGCAGCTGATTTCGTATGAACAAATACAGAAACAAAATAACAATGGCTTATTAACCAGCGAAGACAGAGATAGAGAACACTGATGCTATTAAGCTCTATAGTATATTCATGAAAAAAGGTCACCAACACCAGCTCTTCTTTTCTGCCGTATAGTCCATGGTCCCAAAACTGATATATATTCCCATTCCCATTCTAGACATCTTTACATTAGAGAAGGATCCACCTTCCCATCATCCAAGATGGATTCTTTTCTAATATTCTATTTATTCCTTGTTACTAAATGAAGGTTGCTAATTTATTTATTTTTGGAAAAGAGAAATCACTAACTGGTGCTTCTAAGAACACATAATAGAGCAAATTCTGTATGAAGAGAAATAAAATCATGAACATTTAATATAAATGGTAAACCTAACTTTGTTTGGGACTTCATCCATACAAAAGATAAGAATTTAAGTGTCTAAACAATCGAAGTTGACATACAGTTTTCTATATTGATAATTGAAAATTAATATAAAACTGTATATGGCTTTTACAACAGGTTTTGCTCTAATGAAAAATGATAGTTCGATACTGAAGGATTAAAGAAAAATAACATTCTGTATACCAGGATAAGTCCAATAATATTTGTAGGCTGCTCATAATAGACAGGGACTCTGCTATGCCCTTTCTCCAATATTAGATTCATCAGATCCCTGCTTAATAATAGGCATTTAATTTGATGACAAAAAGTTGCATATAGCTTGCATTATATAACTTTTTTGAGATACCTTACCTATCAAGTTTTGAATTAATATCAATAGAGAATGTTTCAGTTATAGGAGTCATGGCATCACTGGCTGTTTTCTCACTGAGTTCAAGTGCCCCAGCAATAATTGTTGTTTCATCATGTGTCAGTTCCCCACCTTTTCCAGCCTAATACAATTCATCATGGAACAGCAACAACAAACATAAGGAAGCATGAGTGTCCAAGTGAAGGAGTCTAAGTAACCAGAAGAGAAGATAATATAACCCTCAGTGACATTCCAGGTGTGAATTACTTAGGAAAAGAAAAGCTAGAGAACCGCAATATACTGATGAAATAACAAGATGAGCACAGAAAACAAGTCTTCTTCAACTTCAAGAATAAATGAATAAAAATATATATGAAGCATAGATGCATGCATCTGTTTCAATAAAAAAAAAAACATCATGTAGCTTTGATACATACCTCATTGCCATGCAAGCTTACAAGTGTTTTCAACTCAGCTCTGCGGAAAAGGGCTACATGTCGATGCCCCAGCAAAAAGTCCAACAACTGGAAATCCAATAAATGCACAACAAGCCAAGAAGGAAAAGAAAATCAAGAAATAACAAATTAATTTCGGTCCAGGTTTACTCAAATGAAACTGAAAAAATATTGATCATTGCTGCTCAATCAATGTGTCTCACCTTGCTAATTGGATAAGCAACAGGAAAACATATCCATACAAGAACACGGACAACCGGAGCCACTTTTGCACCAATTGCTAAACCATACTGAGAACAAATTGATTGGGGTATAATCTTCACAAAAGTTTAAAAAAAAAATATGTCAGAAATTTTACACAGCAACCTGAGTAATTGACTGCAAATATATTCCTATGAGATAATAACCAAATATATGCCAGAAATGCAGCAATCCAAGCAAGGTTAGGAGTTAGGACCACCATTCAGTAGGACCCTACCAAAGGTATAATTACTAAGATTGGAAGCAAGTCTGATTTATAAACATCAACTACTTCTCACTATCTGATCTGAATTATTTTTTGCCGTTGAATGAACCATGATTGAAGATGAGTTTCTGACTTTCTCACTTTTTATCAAAAGGGAGGAAGCGCCCTCAGTTTTTAACCTATGATATGCATGCATTTTATTTAAAATATAAGGTAAAAAACTTCCTCACCTCACCAAACAGAAGAATTAACGTCACCGAAATAACGATAGCACCCCACGCACTAACAAGACTATCAAGAAAGATTGGAAGTGCCTGAAAAAGCAAAACCCATATCCAATATTATCAGGACCTTTTAGTAATATTCAGGTGATTAAATACACACTAAACGCATGATTTTAGTTGGTACCTCCATGGCTGCAGCATTGCAAATCAGAAGGGTACAAAGCAACAAGTGTTGATTTCTGACAACAGGCAATATCTTCGCTGTAATAACAAAACACAAGTTCCAACAGCCGGAGATTCAATAACTGTATAATGTCCACAACAATGTTGTGTTCTTCCTATTTCTACAATGACAAAGCTCTCTCCCATTAGGGATAACACAGCTGGAAAGACTAAGACTCTGAGACCGTGATTAAAAAATCACAACCACATGTATTGAAGAAATCCATGAATTAAAACTACAAATCACCAATCACCCTTGATTTATTTTTTTCACTGCTTACTTTTTTTTCAAGTGGTAAGACTGTTTCTTCATGACTGAAAGCTAGTGGATTCAAATTCAGAAAACAGTCTCTTTGCAATTACACAAAAATAAGTAAGGATGTATATAGGGATTTCTTCCATCCCACACTCAGTAGTCGACTTTAACTGAGAGTGATTTTTTACCTTTTCTCCAAATATTAAGTTGACAATTAGAAAAACTAACTTATATAGCCATCGTATTTCAGATTAAGAATTCAACAAAAATAAAAAAGAAACTAAATAACTAAAAAAAAAAAGGGAAAATCTAAAAGATAGGGAGAGAGTGAGAGAAATAACCTGCATGCTTGCGATCCTGAGGAGTACCAGACTTAGCAAGGACTTCAAGATCAACAAGGCTCAATGACATGAGGCCTAAGGTGAGCCCTGACATCATTCCAGCGAATATCACAAGCAACACAATTATCATTATGTGTATAAAAAACTCCGTTCCACAGCACTTATACTCCACCGCCATTGAAACCGCTATACTCTTCAACTTGTTATTGTTGTTCTTGTTTCTCAATCTCTTGAGTTACACAAAGCAGAGTTACACCGCCTTCATTGCTATGAAGTATATCCGAATTATGATGGAAATATAATATTATTTTATTAAAAGGAATGTGATAGAAGAGGGTCTGTGTTCGGTTCGTTTGAGAGTGCTTGTTTACGAATGAAGACACCGTCGCCAAATCTATGCTAACGTTGTGTTCTGTCCTCTTTATTGCTTTCTCTATTTGTTTGTGCCGCTGAGAGATCATCGAGAATGTTAACAAGGGACCCACCACTAAATTAAAATGCCACTTCAACTTCTGCGTTGTCATTCAAATGAAAGAATTGTTCTCTGTCTTGATTCTTATTCTGTTCACTTTTACTTTAATAAAGGTTGAGATATAAACAATCTTAGGACAGGACAACCCAGTAAGAGTCTGTTTTTTTATGTATGCATAACTATTTGATTGAATCGAGTGTTATGCGATCTTTGTGTCGTTATTTTTAATAGAGAACGACAAACTCTATTATTGATACTATCACCTTTTTGGTATATAAATCCATATCGTATCACAAACGAAAGCTACTTCAATTGCACAAACGAGGATGTTTTGGTATCGACATTTCATGTCCATAACAGGGAAGTTGCGTTTTCTCTCAATTGTGCGTTGTCGCGTATATATAGGATGAATGAAATGTAGTTACTGATGTTTTATATTTCTATATAGGGTTTTTTAAGAGATGTATTGTAGGGAGAGTGATTGTGTTATGTTATAGAGATTCGTTTTGCGTGTCAAAGTTTTTTTTTTGTTGCGGGCCCACAAAATGTTGTGTAACTTATATGTGTAGGAAATTTTTTGGAGTCATGTTAAATAATAGATGATAAATCATTCTATATAATACGATGAACAGAGTGTTGTCTTGTTTTAATTCTACTATTTTATTTTTCGCCTTCCCCCAAGTAATACCGTTCTTTCTTCTTTCGTGCTTCCTTAACATCACCTCTTCTAAAAGCCTAACGAATATTGAATTCGGGATCATCTTTTTTTTAACCTACCAAAATCTATCACACCATACTAATTTTAATGGCTTCGGGATCCTCTTCTTGGGTTTTAATTAAAAGTATTCCAAAATATAAAAGCTTTTTGGTTTATGTAAGCGTATGTTACTTTTGTTGGCACTTTGTGATACTCTAAACTTTTTTAGGTGATTTGAATTTCGTTAGATATATTTATGGATAAAGTCCACTCATGTAATTCCTTATATATGTACAAAATTTAAGGGGTGTATTGGATTCAGATTTTAAACAATTTTAATGGATTATTTTTGGATAAAGAAATCCATTATTATTTAATTAAGATTTAAAATAATTGAAAAAAAGTCATGTGGTATTCGATTAAAATTAGAAAAGATTATTTTAGAGTCTGTACAAATAAGATGGTATTCAATCAGGATTTTAAATAAAGGAAAAATAATTTTGTGGTATTCAAAAATCTGACGATTTTAGTGGATTTTCTATCAGTGTGGATTTTGTGAGACTTTAACTCTCACAGTCTCACCCTAACTCTAGGATTTCATGATATTTCTCTATTGCAGTGCATCTTCTTCCTTTGGTGGGTCGATTCGCTCAAAAATGAATTCTGTCATGGGAGCTTCGTCAAAACTCAAAAACAACAGATTTTTTTTATCGATTTTCATCATAAAGCAACCCAGAAACAACAACCCAACAAGATTCTATTTTAATCCATATCAAAAAATAGCAAATTTTTGATAGCTTTTGGAAGTTTAAAAAAGGATCTTTCAAGCTATGAGTCGCGATTTTTTTGGCACAAAAATGTGTAATTTTTGTATTAAAAAACAATATAAAACAGTGGGAAAATAACATAGGAACAAAAAACCCTAAACCAATTTTCGTTTTACATCAATAAAACGAGATCGATTTAAAAAATTATTGAAACTTTCATACTATGAACCTTATGTTCGTAGCAATACATTCATGAACGAAATTCTTTCGATATAGGAAACAATTTCAAACAATTTTTGTGTTAATAGATCACTAAAAAATTATTTTTCAAAAGCCACAAAGCAATTTAATGTTTCAATATATCGATTGAAAATAATTTGAGAAATTTTTTAAACTTTCATGTAATAAAACCCAGAAATTCAGATTTAAATTTTTCTTAGAATACTCAATGAAAACATGCATATGATATATGATTAGAAAACTCTCGTCACGTAGAACAAAATCCCCAAAGTTTCCAAGATCAATAGAAAAAAAGTTACAAACAAAATTTTATCATGAACTTTAGGTTCTATATGTTTATCTCTAATACCAAATGAAAAAGATAATTTTTAACATAATGGTCAAATCCAAAAGCACGAAAAGAAAATGTTAATGCCTGGAGGACTAGTATAGATATGTGAAGAAGATTATATTAGGTTTTACTTTTTTTTTATTAATATCATTACATTTATTTGTTATTTTTTTATTGACTTTTGTAATTTTGAATGTTTGTTACAAATTCATATAAGTTTTTAAAATCTTATAAATTCTATTAAAATCCATTCTTATAAAATGTTAATTGTCAAAAAAGTCTTTTAAAAAGTTTTTAAAGTCACTACACTTTTAGATTGTCTTTTAAAATTTATAAGATTTTTTTATCTACAAATAATCTTTTAAAATCTATAAGATTTTTTTATCCCAAAATAATCTTTTAAGATCCTAATCCAATACACCCTCTTAAATGTTCTTTAGAATAAAATATTCCAAACTAGTCATATTTTTTGTTCCAGTTTTTTTGTTTTTTTTTTTTTTGGTACATAAATTATTTTTCAAATTGCACAATATCTTTCGGAAGCTAGGCTGGTTGACCATGGTCCAGAAGTATCTCTCAACATGAGGAAACTCTGAGGTGAAGCTCTTGACCAGGACCAGAGTGAAACCGAAATACAAATTGCATGTCAGCAAGGGTAACGGAATACCCAACCAGGTAAGAATTGAAGGCAAGGTGAGTGTTCAAAACCCCAAATGCTGTCTTCAATGCAGCATTTGCAATCTTCTCAGCCTTCATTCAGAAACACATATCAGATGAGGGGGAGCAAAATGTGGGGAAAACGGGAATTTAACAAAAATTAAAAAAACTTGATAAAGAACAAAATGTACCAACTTTGACTTTAAGAATTGGACATACATAAACTATTAATCACCTATACAACTGATTTCACATAAACCTCTCATTACTCATGAATAATTGACCCTAACCCAAACATATTATATGATTGCTATCAATTCTCCACACTAGGAACTTCAAAGCAGTTATTTGATACAGGAAAAAACTTTGCACACAACTTACTAGAGGAAGGTATGGGGCAATTCCTAGTCTTGGCAGGTACAATTTCATAAGATAAGCATCAATCTCGATCGATGAAAAATCAATCCACTGCTCAACGTGGGCCTGAAACATCAAAATATAAATAAAATAGCAAATACAAACGACCAGTTTCATGGAGAAGCCATGATATTCCCACATAGAGAAAAAAATGAGAATCGAAAAAGTCTATACTAAAAATAAAACCCTACATAATCAATGGTAGAAGATCCAAACAGAGTGCTGTCGCCCTTCAGTCGAGCAACTGCAGCAAGCAAAAATAAATAAATGAGAAGATCACAACAATCCACATAAACGGTTGTATGTATATCCAATCAATGCATGAATATAAGTAAGCATACATACCGTAACGAGCCATGGCATTGCTCTCAAAGACGGGACCATCAGGTGTTTCCAAGAAAGGAACCTGGAAGGACAAAACATCAAAGGAAATCCAACCAAGTTGTGCTTAATGTAGAAGAGGGAATGGATGGGACATAACAGGATACCTTTCCCATAGGACTCATCTTGAGAAATTCAGGAATTTTATTATAAACGCTAATCACAAAATCCGGGGCCAATTCAACTGGGACACCAGTGTACTCTGCGGCAATGAGAGTCTTATAACCATTCTTGTCTGTTTTCTGTGCATGCAGGATCTGTTGAGATATATAGTCCTAGTATGTGCAACTAATGTGGAGTTTATAAGGTCTTGGGCACTCCCACCCTTTGAGCTAGCTTTTGGGGTGGTGTATCCCAAGGTTCTTTACATGGTATCATAGCCTCATCGCCCCCCACTTTCTCTTGTGGCATTTCTTAGCACAGGTAGGCTGGGCCTGTTGCATTGTCCACTCTTCGAGCCTAATGGGCTCTCGTGTGAGGGGGCGTGTTGAGATATATAGTCCCACATTGGTTGTATGTGCAACTAATGTGGAGTTTATAAGGTCTTGGGCACTCCCACCCTTTGAGCTAACTTTTGGGGTAGTGTATCCCAAGGTTCTTTACAGGATCTACAGACATAAAATTAGTGACCACCGGATGAGAATCATATTCAGATAGAGCAGATTCACCGGTATTGAAAATCAGAGAAAGTAAAGACTAAAGAGTAAATTGAACATGAGATTGGGAAGCAATTCGCATAAATAGTTATTCGGAGAGAATTAATGAAAGAGACAAACTGACCAGAGCCATGGCTTCCTTCAAGGAAAAACGTGCCGCTCTTGTTTAAGATCTGGTAACAAAAGATGAATCTCAAACCACAAATCTAACTCAGTGGCATTGGAAAAACAATCTTTGGACAGGACAACCCAGTAAGAGTCTGTTTTTTTATGTATGCATAACTATTTGATTGAATCGAGTGTTATGCGATCTTTGTGTCGTTATTTTTAATAGAGAACGACAAACTCTATTATTGATACTATCACCTTTTTGTTATATAAATCCATATCGTATCCCAAAGGAAAACTACTTGAATTGCACAAACGAGGATGTTTTGGCATCGACATTTCATGTCCATAACCGGGAAGTTCCTTTTTCTCTCAATTGTGCGCTGTCGCATTCGCATATATATAGGATGAATGAAATGTAGTTACTGATGTTTTATATTTCTATATAATACGATGAACAGAGTGTTGTCTTGTTTGAATTCTACTATTCTTATTTTTCGCCTTCCCCCAAGTAATACCGTTCTTTCTTCTTCCGTGCTTCCTTAACATCACCTCTTTTGAAAACCTAACGACTATTGAATTCGGGATCCTCTTTTTTTTATACATTGGTGGGAATTCAACACCTGATACAACCTACCAAAATCTATCACACCATACTAATTTTAATGGCTTCGGGATCCTCTTCTTGGGTTTTAATTAAAAGTATTACAAAATATAAAAGCTTTTTGGTTTAGAATGATATGTAAGCGTATGTTACTTTTTGCATTTGGTGATGTGTTCGCTTTTTCTGCCGTTGCTGCAGATAAGTTATTTGTAGTAAGTTTAATACAACGTTGTTTTGGGACGAAAATCATGGTATTTTTGTAATTTAATTTATTTCAGGGTTATAATATTCTTTATATTTATAATTTTTTAAGATTACAATACTAAGACGGACGTCGTTTAGGGTTATAATATTTTTTATATCTATAATTTTTTAAGATTTCAATACCAAGAAGACATCATTTTAAAAATAAATGTAGATAATTTATCTGCATTGCAGAAACATTTTTCCCTTTTGTGATACTCTAAACTGTTTTTAGGTGATTTGAATTTCGTTAGATATATTTATGGATAAAGCCCACTCATGTAATTCCTTATATATGTAAAAAAAAATTGGGAGTTGTATTGGATTCAGATTTTAAATAATTTTAATGGTTTATTTTTTGGATAAAAAAATCCATTGGTATTTAACTACGATTTTAAATAATTGAAAAAAAGTCACATGATATTTGATTATGATTTAAAAAATTATTTCAGAGTATGTACAAATCAGGTGGTATTCAATCGGGATTTTAAACAATAGAAAAATAATTTTTGTGGTATTCAAAAATATGACGATTTTAGTGGATTTTCTATCGGTGTGAATTTCGTAAGACTATTTAGTGAGAAGTATAAATAGAATGCCCCTCTCACATTCTCACCGTAAACCTAGAATTTCTTGAGATTTTTCTATTACAGTGCATCTTCTTCCTTTGGTAGGTCGATTCACTCAAAACTGGATTCTGTCATGGGAGCTTCGTCAAAGCTCAAAAACAGCATATTTTTTTAAGCGATTTTCATTACAAAACAATCCAGAAACAACAACCCAACAAGATTCTAATTTGATCCATCTAAAAAAAATAGCAAATTTTTGATAGCTTTTGGAAGTTTAAAAATGATCTTTCAAGCTATGGGTCGCGATTTTTTTTTACACAAAAATGTGTGATTTTTGTATTAAAATAACATAAAACAATGGGGAAACAATATAGGAACAAAAAATCTCAAACCAATTTTCGTTTTACATCAATGAAACGAGATCGATTTAAAGAAATATTGAAACTTTCATACTATGAACCTTATGTTTGTAGCAATACATTCATGAATGAAATTCTTTCGATATAAGAAACAATTTCAAACAATTTTTGTGTCAATAGATCACTAAAAACTTATTTTTTAAAAGCCCCAAAGCAATTTAATATTTTAATATATAGATTGAAAATAATTTGAGAAATTTTTTAAACTTTCATGTAATAAAATCCAGAAATTTAGATTCAAAATTTTCTTAGAATACTCAATAAAACATGTATATGATATATGGTTAAAAAACACTCCTCATGTAGAAAAAAATTTCCAAGGTTTTCAAGATCAATAGAAAAAATTACAAACAAAATTTTATCATGAACTTTAGGTTCTGTATGCATATCTCTAATATCAAATGAAGAAGATAATTTTTAACCCATTAGTCAAACCCAAGAGCACGAAAAGAATATGCTAATGCATGGAGGACTAGTATAGATATGTGGGAAAAATTATATTAAGTTTTGCTTTTTTTTTTATTAATATCATTGCATTTCTTTATTATTTTTATTGACTTTTGTAATTTTGAATGTTTGTTACAAATTCATATAAGTTTTTAAAATCTTATAAATTCTATTAAAATCCTTTAGAATCCATTATTATAAAAAATTAATTGTCAAAAAAGTCTTTTAAAAAGTTTTTAAAGTCACTACAATTCTAAATTATCTTTTAAAATTTATAAGATTCTTTTATCTCAAAATAGTCTTTTAAAATCTATAAGATTATTTTATCTCAAAATAGTTTTTTAAAATCCTAATTCAATACACCCGATTAAATGTTCTTTAGAATAAAATTTTTCAAACTTATCATATTTTTGGTTGCGATTTTCGAATTGTTCAATTGTGAAGATTTATTTTCGAAGTTCTTTCACAGAATTGATGATTAAGGGCTTTCAAAACCAAATAAATTCAATCCAAATGAAAAAAAAAAGTCAAAAAAATAGAAAATTAAATAAAGTTATTGAATATTTAAAACACTCTTTAGTAATAGTATCAATGTATCATCGTGCTTTACTTTAGTTTTATTAAAAGTTAACAATAGTGCTTTGTCAAGATTTTTGTTCGAAAAAATTTATAGATAGCATGAACTATAAAATTTGAGCCAAATTTCCAAATTCCCAGATCGTTTTATTTGGTCTGGTTATTAACTTGTTATATGTTTTGTATAATTACTAATTGGATATATCTTGTTATCTTGAACTAAATATTGTTTATGATATATTTAGAGTACTTGAGTCATTTCTGTTTGATTTTATAAATTTTTTTTTTTTTGATAACATGATTTTATAATTTTGATAATTCACTTTTATGATAAAATACGTTAGTTGTGATGATAATATTAACATATTTTGGAATAAAAAAGAAGCACGGGGGAGAGTCATTGATGTACTTTGATATGACAAAAAATTAATATGTATAAGAAAAGATTTACAAAAAAAAAAAAAAAATCTTAAAGAATGATTGTTTAAAGGAAAATTCTTTCAAGAATTCAGACTTTGAATTCATTGAATATCAAGCAAAAGTATAGAGAACTTGTTTGCTATTAAAGTGAGACTGATTTATTATTTTGAAGATCACTTGAAGATATGAGTGTTAAGTAATTATAATAAATAAACTATATAGTCAACACTATATCTTAACATAAAATTTTGAATGAATGGGTTTTACATTATTTCATCATATCATTTACATTTAGTATATTTTTAATCAATGTAAAAATTCATTTACATTTTTTATCTATATTCTTCTCTTCAAATGTAAAATCCAATCATTACTATGTTTCCCATCAAGCTAAAATTTCTCCGAGTATTAATGAGACTATTGATAATATATAGTCAACACTTAATTAAATAATATGGGTTTGGATCTCTTAATTTTGAACTCTAACCACAATCTCCAAGATCAAGTCCATTCATTTTGCATAAAGTTCCGTGTATAGAACCAAAATTGTTTGTATGTATTCCAGTTGTGAGCGGGTGATTCCAATTCCAGTTAATTTTAATAGTACTTGCAAATTTTGCTAAATAAGAGAACTCGTTTCATTTTTTGCAAGGCTTTACCTAAAATATTGTGTAACCTCATGTACATAATGTAAATTCACATGCTATGTTTGCTCCACACCTTGACAGCTAACTAGGCCCCACTTTGATGACCTGGCATATGCTTTCTCCGAGAATAAATCCACCGATGCTGATGCAAAAATATTATCAGACATGTTAATTACTTAATTGGGTTTCGAGATAATATAAATTTTTTTCATGTTGTAAACACATTTTATGTGGGATCCACATTTATTAAAAAAAATAAAAAAACAAAAGAAAATATTGCATAAAAATCGAAAGGTCACCAATAGGAGAAAACAACTCTCCTACGACACGAGAAAATGTTTTCCCTACTTAATTATACTCAAATGGATGAAGAAGAAATATTATCATACATAAATTAAAAAATAATAATAATTTATCATCTTTTTAAAGCAACAGATAAAAATAATTAATTGGTATCCTGAATTGGAATCAAGTAATCCAGTTATTATTATGAGGAAAAATCGACTGAGTTCAGATGTGGGAGAAATTACTAACTTGTTCTATTTAAAAACAAAAATCGAACCCACCCAGATCCGGTGCGTGGTAGTTAAGAACTTATTTTATTTTATTTTTTATGATTTTTTTATATTTTTTTAGGGTTCGCTTTTTCATATAGTCAATGTAGATAATGTATCTACATTAAACCCAAAATAACGTCATTTTGAGACAAAAATCAAAGTATTTTTATAATTATAAGTTATTTCAAAGTTATAATAGTCTTTTTCATTATAATTTTTTAATTTTTCAATCCAAATCGAAGTTATTGTAAGAACGAAGATAAATAACTTATCTACACTGTCGATGCATATGATTTTAAGTTTTACAATTTTTATCCCTTTTCGTTTTTAAATAAAAACTCGATTTTAATCTTGAGCTCAATATAAAAATGCAATCTTAGAAAGTAAGTAAGGGCACAAACCCAACCGGGAAATAATAATACAAATTATCAGAAAACAAATAATTTTTAAAAATAAAAAATAAAAAAATCAATGCATCATGATGAGTCACTGAGTCCAAATCCACTGTTTTCTGAGTCTCTGGCGGTGTCACAGCTCAGAGTAAGAACACTGCACAGATCTGGGTCGTGACTGAAGAGATCAACCTTGTTTGATTTCTTCTCAGTATTATTAGGTAACCATTTTCCACTTTACCCATTTGCTTCAATCTTCCTCATTCCATGCTTTCACTCTTTGCTTCTTCTCTTGCTGATGCACTCTTATGTACTACAGTTTTATCATTTTATGCTTATTTGCTTCCTTCATAGTTGTATATGTTGCTCGATTGCATCTGTTTCAGCTTTGTATTCGACTATAACTTAACCCCTTTTTAGTTTTAGTTCCTTGGGAACGATTTGCTTTTTTTTTCTTTTTTTTAGTTTTAAATTCTGAAACAGATATTTTGTATTTGTGTTTAAGCTTAGGGTACTATTTCCTTAGGAGCATAGTTTTGTTTTTGTTTTTGTTTTTTCCTTTTTGGGAGCTTGTTGGTATAAATGGATGTGTTTGTTATATTATGACAAAATAACTGGAAACAGCACTAACAGCTTGGTAAGTTATGTGTTCTATGAAAGTGATATGAAAACAATAAGAAATTGTATTTTCCTATTAGGGGTTTGATGGCATTGCTAGGCGAATTTTGCTGTGTGTAGCTTGTCACTGCAAAATATACTTTTTTTTGTTATGCTAATCTCATGGGTTTAATTGGAAACTGTAGAGAGAGAGAGAGCAGTTGTTGTGTTCATTTACTTGAATTTCCATAGGGATGGCATGGGATTCTGGTTGAAAATATATAGTCTCTTAAGTAAATAACTGACTGTGCTAATTGCATCCTTTTAGCATTTATTATCCAGTTCTTATTATTTACTACTCAAATAATATTAGATTGGTGGCCTTGGCTTTAAGAGAAATTTATCTATTGGAAAACACCTTAGGCAGCAGAGATATATACACTCATGCAACTTCAACTCAAAATAAGGAGTGGAAAACATGTGATAAAATATAAAAGCTGAAACAATTTTATTTATTTGAAACACGACAATTGAGCTTGGTGCTAAAACTTGTGCTAGGTTTGAAGGATCATTGCTATTATCATGTCAAGGAGGCCAGTAAATCCTTCACGTCGTATAGGTGATGGTGGAAGTATACCGTTCGTGGCCTCTATCCAGTCTAAATCTCAGAACTCTCCCCTACTATCTATTGGGCTTGTTATCTTGGTACAATTTATTCGAAATGTGTATCTCTCAATACAGAAATAGTCTGGTATCATTAGATTTAATGTGCAATATTTATATGTGCCTTTTTGATGTACCATTTTTGCACCAAACAGATCCTGCATCTATAATTATGTTCTACTGGCTCTTCTCCCTGTTCCCAACTTATTATACAGTTTTCTCAATATACTTTATCCATTCTACTCATAACTGCTTGCTGTCAACACATAGCGTATTTAATGAATTGTTATTTGCAAATTTTCAGGGTGCAATCCTCCTGATTGGTTATTGTTACAGCAGTTCAGGTTTGTAATTATTCTGTTAACTTGTCTGGAACCCTCGTAAAAAAGTGTCTTTTATCAAAGGATAAAAGAAGGATTTTGAATTTCGCACCCTCCAAATATTATGTTTCAAATACCAGAGTAAAATTCTGTCTTTGGATCCAATATTTTAGAGCTCAAATATTCTACAACTTCCTCGGTTTTAATAAGCTTGGGTCCAGTCTTTTGTTCATTAAGATGATGCTACGATCACAGAACTGTACAGTGGAGTACACAAAATGAATATGGTCAATGTAACTGAAAAAAAATGAGCAATACAAATGAAAATATAGATGGCAACTGTGACCTCAAGCTATACACATGGAAAGATGGAATAACTTAAGAATAAGATTTCCCCCCATAAGCAAGGCACACATCCAATTCAGAAGAATGAACACAAATCCTCTTCTGAGCTTGGCTAATTTCTTTTTAAAATTTATATCCACCAGATTTTGTGAATTAGCCAGACTCATATTAAGTGAACTGTGTTAATATCTATATCACTTTACAAAATGCAGCAAAGATCTTAACTTAGGTTATGTCTTCATAGGAAACCAAACCAAAGTACAAGTTATATCAGCATGTAGATCCATAGACTTTGCATTAGCCTCATAGATCCTAGCTCATCCTGTCATGATCATTCTGTCATTCTGAATTTGTCAACTTTAGCAAGAAAATATCCATGCAAAATGGGGAAAACAAAGTTGCAGACATCACTGGATAAACTAACAATGAAGATATTCTGTTTCATGAATTGGCATTTGCTTTAAAATTCCTTTGATACTGATCTTGACTATGATTTGTTTGTTCACATGGCAGGTGGAGCTAGCAGTGATATCAAGGATGTGAATAAACTTGAAGGTAAATAGATAAACTATCATTTTGTTATTTAAATCTTAAGCTTCCTGAACATTTTCCTTGTAAGACAGCTTAGGGGAGTGATTATATAAAGCTGTTGTACTGAATCCTTTCAATGTCTTATTCCCTCTAAATTTGGTTCATGTTTTGGGTGTCTCCTTTTATTTTTTAATTCACTGGTTTTTCTACCATCAGCATGCACATAATGAGGTTTTGTTTTTTGAACTTGTGAGTTGTGATATCACCTTGTAACTTGTTCTAGAGGATAAATGGTGTGCTCTAAAACTGGAAAGTTGTTTGTTTTGTATCCTTATTGACATACATATATAGATAGGATTATGCATTTTTTTTACCTTCAAATCTTCAATATATTAATAACTTCTGGTGGTTTGGTTTTAGGAAACATGTTTAATTATCATTCACTGTGTTCATTTCCTTAAATCTATATGCATTTCCAAGATTTTCAAGTTTTTTCTTTTTAGAAAATGTGTTGTGAAATAAATAATTGCTTTCTATTTTTGTTTTGAACTCATGGACTCAAATAGTTATGTTGGCCATGCTCATGAAGTCTGTATACCATTGGCATAGCTTGATGCTCTAATGAGAGAAATTGTAACTATTTTGGCTTTTGTTAAATCACCACCCAGAGTTCATGAGCTTTCATATGTGCTCTCTCCCTCTGGTTCCTTCTCTTTTTGCAATGAGTCAGATAAGATCAATGCTGGTACTCTTAAGGCCATGAGCAATTTTGCAGTGGCTGTGCCCTTTGAGTGAAGTCAAGCAAAGAGAATGGATATTGCAGTTTGGCAGACTTGAGTATGTAGTCTCTATCATTAGAGAGAGAAAGTGTAGGAAAAATAAATGTTAGTTTTGTCAGCACAGAGAGGAAATGAAACTAACGAAGAGCAAGAGACCTGAATTTGATTTTCCCCATTTCCAATCCAATTTAGAAAATAATTTGTAGATAATTTTCTCTTAAAAGCAACAATCCTTAATTTTGTTAATGTTTTCAATATTTAATGAAAATGGAAACAGAAAATGCTGAAACTAAATAGGCTCTTACTATTGTCCTAAGCATTTGAGCAAATTTAGAATCTAAAATTCTAGGCTACTTGTCTTGATGGTCTCCTTGATGCTAGTGTCAGAATGTCCTTGATGATATACTTAAGATGCGCTTAATTTAGTAATATAGGCCTCTGCAATTCTCTCTCTCTCCCTGCAATAATTTATAAAAAAAAATCAATTTTATATTCTGTAATCTGTTTCGAAATTTGTAAAAATGACAATTATGCTTAGTTTCTCTTATGTTTCTAATATTGAGATAATAATCCAAATATAGGATTCTAGGGCAAGCAATGGAATATTACTCAAGCGAGAGTTTAGCCAGAGTTAAATTTTTCTTCCTTGTCTTGGACATATTTTTTACTATATGGGTGGTGTATATGCTCTTACTTGGAACTTGATGATACCGTAGTATGATCTGTATGTTAGACATTATTAATGTCTTGTGTTTATACTAAATTCATTGGCATTTAATGTAGAACTGTTAATTTCTAATTTTGAATATTGAAAATTCTGTAGCAATTCAAACAGCTCTAGTGTGTATAAACAGGTGGTGCATCATGCACATTAGAAGTCCTACAAGCATTGCCCATTTTGAAGAAAGCTTATGGAGACAGCCTGCATAAAGTTTTGCATGTTGGCCCAGACTCTTGTTCTGTGGTATATAGTTTGTTACAAGAAGAGGATACAGAAGCTTGGGGAATAGAACCATACGAATTAGAAGATGTCAGTGCAAAGTGTAAAAGTCTAATACGCAAGGGCATTGTGCGTGTGGCTGATGTAAAGTTTCCTCTACCCTATCGTGCAAAGTCATTTTCCCTTGTCATTGTGTCAGATGCATTGGATTACTTATCTCCAAGATACCTGAATAAAACCCTGCCGGAGTTGGTGAGGGTATCTGCTGATGGTGCTGTTATCTTTGCAGGTACATTCCCTTATGAAGCTTCTATTCTTCCAGTTTATGCTGGAAGAACTGGAATTATCTAAAACTTATCTAGAACTGGATTTATCTTGGGCATTTATTTTGGCATATTTTTTATTCAGCTGCTTAGGGCTATATTCACCTAGGCAATGTCAGTCATAAAAACTGATAATCAGCAGTCTTTGATTGTCAACAAATCATGCATTTTTTACTTGTATTTCCCCGTAACTCGTGTTGGATGTGATAGAAAATTAAGTTTTGATTCACCTTTCCTTTCTATCTCCTGATTTCTCATTTTCATGCATAGGTTATCCAGGTCAGCAGAGAGCTAGAGGTGGAGAAGTGGCCAAATTCGGTCGTCCAGTAAGTGACTACTATTATTTATTGAAGTTAATATCTTTTTGACATCAAAGGCATTTGAGTTGGCTACATGTAGTTTTGTTGATGTTAGAAAGAGCATGACTCCACCATCATGTAGATTGCAAATTTACCAATTTTGTGATTTTTTTAGGGGGTACTTCTTAGTAGAAATGTATCGGTGGTTAGAATAAAGTAGGTTAAAGGAGTTATAAAAAAAAATTTAACGAAAAATAATTTTATTAGAAGGAAGAAAAGAATGTACAAAAAGGGCTTAGAAAGTTATAATCTTAGATTGAAATTAAAGAAACTTTGATGGGCAGAAAGAGAAAGGTGAATTACCTGAATGCACATGTAGTCTTGGAGTTATTTCATTTTTTTTTTTAACAAATTGTACCCTCTTACTTTCTATATCGGTGTTAAGGGAATTATTAATTGAATTGAGTGATTTTTAACACTTTTTCAAGCGTTTAGAAGGAAATTGTAAGCTTAGGACAGGAATCCGACCAAGCTGATTTCAGTTCAAAGGATTGGTTGCTCATTTTTTGGAATTGTTATCTTGAGACATATTAGTACTCAAGTTTAACTAGAAAAAGTTGGCATTGGCAAGAGAGAATTGAGTTGATTGTAGATAGATTGAATACTTTGGCAGTATCAATTTAGGTTAATTTGTGGATCAAACACATGTTGGAAGAATATGAATGTGAATTTCCTTGACAATTTCCTTTAGTTCACATTGTCATACTTGATGAAATATTCCCTTTGCATTTTTTAATGAATAATGACCAAATTATTATGATGTTCATAAATAATTATGAATGTAGCTTAAACTTTGAAAATATTAATATATTGGTCAGTAATGCACTTTCAAAGATACGGACAGAAAACTAAGCATATTGCACATTTCATAATAATAACGGGAAGTTTAAGAAGTTACTAACTAGTATTATGTTTCTTACACAAATTAATGTCAATAAAACTACTCTTTAATTCAGCTTCTCCCATTTTGGGATTTGATATTCTTTTTATGAAGGCCAAATTGCGCAGCTCATCTTGGTGGATAAGGTTTTTCGTTCAGACTGGATTAGAAGAAAATGAAACTGCTGGAAAGAAGTTTGAACAGGCTTCAGCCAAGAGGGCATACAAGCCAGCATGCCAAGTTTTTCACCTCAAATCATACCCCTGAAATTTTTACTGTCTTGTTTTAAACTCTTGACTTAATGGTTGGAAACCATGCTGATGAGATAGGCACCTTGAGCACCCGAAGGGTAAAAGTTCCATATATTCTGTTGAAATTATAGTAGTCTTTGATAAGATCATGACCAGATATTAGATTCAATTATATATTTTATTGGCAATGCCATTGTAAACTATTTTTGTCTTGATACTTGATAGTGTTCCATATGTTTTGTTTTCACAGCAGCTCTTTGTTTCTTTAGTATTTAATATTTAGAAAACTTACTAATTTGACGTTTAATGACTTTTACAATTGATTTCTACTCTGTTTGAAGCACGTTATATTATCATAAAACAGTAGGTTTATGTTGCTTTGCAACTTGCAAGGTTTGTATTTTATTCTTTTGTAGTATTTGAACGGGAGAGCTTATACCCAACCATTTACAGCTGAAGGAAAAAAAACATGATTGCATCCTCTGGTTCATAGAGCGTCTAAATAATATCGAGGCTAGAAGTTGATGTATCAGTTATTCATATTCGATAGAAATGTCCACGGGATTTCTTGAATTGTCTGTAGTTTGTTATAAAAGAGATTGATTCAATGATTCTACGGCATCGTTGTTTATTAAAGTTGCGTTGCGGCATTCCTGAAAGGCTGTAAGTAAAATTTTAGTAAACATTTCTTGACAGACTAAAACAGTGGGCTAGTTGAGATATGTATAAGTTAGTCTAAACACCAATTATGAGCAATATCAAAAGAAATATGAAATTTTTAATCATCATTCCTTACTTGATCTGTTGCTTATAATTATTATACACCAATTCCATAGCGAAGTTAAATGGCCAAGCTAAAGAATAATATTATCCATGCATTTGGACTTCCAGCTTTAGGATATGCTCTCAATCGAACAGAATCAGCACTGTTCTACGGTGCCAGCAAACTTACCTGTATGTGTAGGTGAAATATTACTCATCCAAATGCATTTTAAAAGAAATTCTCAAATTTCTTTCTGCTGTCAAATATATATGACTACCATACGACAACGAGAAATGTCAATTTATCTTATTTCATCCGAAGAATCCGAACATTTCTTTCCGAAAAATTGCTCAAATGCCAAGTACATACATGTAAGGGATTGTTTTAGTTTAATTAGTGATTTTGAGTTCGAATTCCTAAAATACAACTGTGTTAAAACTTGATTGGGAAAATTTTGCTGTCCATGTAGTCCTACCTGATTCAAATTGGACTAATAAAATAATCAATGAACTCGAATTAAACCGATGGATAATATTAAAAAAAAAAATTGCCCAAACTCTCAACTTTGAACGAAGAATGCAGAGTGGTTAGTTACCCACTGAGGTTTTAAGTTTTAACCTATCACTTCTTGCGAACTACCAAAGTGTGATAAACTGAAAAAGCATATGATACTAGTTATTAGTTAGTAGTCCGTTTAAATTTTATTGCACGATTCCTTTGTTTTATTGTATATTTAAATTATTATTTAGGAGTTTAATATTTTAATGTGTACTCTAATTTTAATTTAGTATGTTAGGCATAAATAACATGTTATAATTTAGTATGATAAACATAAGATTGTATAATTAAATAAAATAATAATAAAATTTTATTAAATGCATTTAATTTTTAAGATTATTAATTTTGTCGTATATTAAAATTTAAACCTAGCATATTATTGTTAATAGAATAACATGAGATAATTTTAATTTTACATTACAAGAATATAAAATAAATATTAAAGCTATCAAGGATATCATAAAATTCTCTTAATTTCTTACCTATTAAATACTTGTCTATGACTAAGTAAGATAATAAAAGTCGAGAAAAGAATTCTTTATTATTTGTTACTTATAATTAATCAATATTTTTTTTTATTAAATAACTAATTAAAGAGAAAAAAAGATTTTTTTCTTTACGTGAAAGATCAATCAAGGAGAACATAATTTGTTTACCAAAAAAAAAGGAGAACATAATTTTTTTAATAAAGACAAAAAGGAAAAAAAAAAAAACCATGTGATCAGAGGTGTAAATATCACGGGCTTACATTACAGACCAGGCTTGATCTAGTTCACGTACTTATTAAATTTGCATAAATATATTTATTTTTTCTTAACTTCTTATTGAATAATATTTTAAAGAAATCAATTAATTGTCATAAAAGTTGTTCCTATTTATTTTTAGAGGAAGGTTATACTTATCTTAACACCGTTGATTTTCGGTTATTATTTTTTCAAATTAAACTCATTAGTTAATTATTAATTCACAATAAATGATATCCGTTGATTGACGAAAATCAACGGTTAAGATATGATTGTAAATGAAAATAAGTTGTAAGTATAACTTTTCTCTTTTTTTATATTTTAATTTTTGTAAATAATCTGTGTTTGATTTATGACACTGGAAGTTCTAATAGGTTTATAGGCTTTTTCAGATCTTTAAACAAAGTCAGACCCATTCTATAATCTAGCTTTCATCATGCTAACATATCTTAGGTTAAAATAAGACCAGACTTAAAATCTTTTATATATGCTCAGCATATTTAGGTTAAAGTCCACCCCAATGTAATTTATTTACACCCGTCCATTTGATTATAGGATAAATGAAATATATAAATATTATTTAAAAAAATATAACTAATTTCATTGTTGATTCTTTTACTTCCACTTCCCTATAATCATCTCGTGACTCCGGTCAATCTTTGCGGCGAAAGTTCATCCGTTAATATCGTTAAAATTTTCCATGTCACTTTTATTCTACGCTGGCTTTTACTCTTTTCAATTGAGTAATCAACAAAAGATCTGATTGTCTGTTCTTTAGAATAATGCAACCAGTTTGCGTCCAAATTCTTTTGCTCAACTTCGAGGTCTTGGTCTGCCACAAATTAATACACACTTTGATTAGTTTCTTCCTAGGGAATTCATTGCTTCACTGGGATGGGGATAGAACTGAATACGGAACACAGTGACTAAAGTGTCATTTTTTATTAAATATTTTATCTAAATGTCACACGAACAGTATATCTGCCACGTGTCATAATTCGTTACTATAGATAGTGAATTTTGTGACTAATGATTTCGTGACACGTGACCATATTGCAGACCAAATTTACTATTACTAGTAGCGAATTATGACACGTCAGCTTTTTCATGCAAAAATGTGTCATGTGTCATAAAATCATTGGTGAACGTAATTCGTTAACAGTCGTAGCGAATTATGCCCACATGATAGTCTAGTAAAAAGTACTGTCTATGTGACATTTGGATAAATTTTTTGTCGAAATGACATTTTGGTCACTGTTTCATTGAATACGATACGCATGTGAGGATTGAAATTTTAGAAGCAGAAATGTAAAATTAATTAAAGGGATGCTTTTAAGGTATATATTTTGAAGTATATTATATTAATTATGTTATGAAAATATAGAAGAAAGGGATCTGTGGACAAATATCTACCATAAAGGATCCCAACCATATATAATAGGTGATAAATTAAATGACTCAACTCCAATAATAGAATTACTCTCGAATATAAGCGTGTTACAAAAAACTCTTATGAACCAGAATCTGGATGATTTATCTATCAAGGTGAAACTTGATTGAAATTAAGTGAAGGTCGGAACCAATTGATATTGAAGAATCAATGGATGAGTTGTGATTAGGGATAAAATGTCATTCCAACAAAAGCATTAATTTTAAGTTTATTTTCTTTTAATTTATTATTATTTTTAAAGAATTTAAACTTTTAAGTATCATATGCCATTAGGCTAGACCAATTTAACTAGAATATGACAATCTAAGCATAAATGGGTCATATGTTAGAGGTTATGTTAGAGGTTGAGTTTGAGAGAAAAAGATGTACATGTCCTTGAAGTATTATTCTAAGAGGCATTAGATTTGGAATGCCGAACAGTGTTAGCTCCAGCTTAGCAAAATTCTAGAGATAATATAAGTTATTGAGCTCCAGCCTATATGAGCCGAAATAATCATATTTTGACCTATTAAACTTATATGTGAACATATTATTGAACTATATTATTTATATATCCAATATCATAAACATTTTTTTAATATATGAACTTAATTTTAATGAATTGTAAATAAAATTATATTTTCAACCACAAGATGTAGCTCAAGAGTCGGGTCCTTGTGCCTGATGAAGTCATGAGTTCGATTCCTAAAAGAAACATTTTGGGGTCAATGATAAAAATCGTTACGTTCCAAGCCACGATGGAATTAGTCTCATCCTTAGGAATGAAGATATCCTGAGTTTACTAAAATAATAATTTAATATATTTTCATACGCGTATGAAAAATGTGTTCCATATTTAGTGACTTTATATCTCATGTAATTATTAATATAGCCAAACTCATTAAATAAGACATCAACATAAAATTGAATGATGTAAGAATAAATTCTTTTTCTATTAATACATTATAAGGCGGAACTTTTGACAAATGAAAGCATTTTTCGAAGTCTCTAAATGGCTTATGAATTAATTTTAAAAAAATCAATTTGAGAAAACTTGTACACTTTACATTGTCATTTTATATTTATATATGGATTTTATGTTTATCATGTAACATGATATAACCTCATTTTCCTATACACACATTAAAGAGGTGAGGTCCAGATATTTTTCTTTCTCTTTTATCATTTCACTTTCTCTCTCCCTTTTATTGTGTGTGTTAGAAACAACACTTAAATTATGTTACATAACATTAATAAAACCCTTTATATATACCTCAAAGATAAAATCTAATCCGAATGCAAAGGAGAATAAGAAAGTTCACATGCGGTTATGACATTAGGCACCAAAATTTTCGTGTCTAGCAATTATCTTAGGCTTCCGAAATTTGTGGCCAGAAGTCATGGAGACGCATGTGAAATATTGGGTCCATCCCTACACAATTGCTTGATTCATATCATACGACATTTCATTAGTTTAAGTGGTAATAATACATGATAGCGATACGCGTGTGTAAGTCATAATTCCAATAGTAAGAAGATATGTGGTAGTCACATGAGTTTACTGTTACACGTACGTAGACTTCAATAATTAAGCAAAAGCTATATTATTGCTAAAAAAATATATATATTTTACCTTTTTTTTTTTTTTCCTAACTTTATTTACCTTAATATTGTTAGATCAGAATCTACAGAGGAGAGAGAAAAATAATTTTTAATTAATATTCTGATCTAATA